CCTTCCAGATAGAGGTAAGAATGTGTAATATTTTCCCTGCTGATCCTCAATAAGACACTAAGCTTATTTGTCTTAGTTTTATAATCATCAAAATGATTCCAGAGCAAGAACAAAGCATTAAAACAGTTTGCTAACTTATAGCCACAGACACCCCAATTAGCAACTTCATGAGTTTGAGCATAATTGTCTCAAACATTCTCAACTCTTCTTCACTTTAACTCTAGTACTCTACTACAACATAAGCTCATCACTCATATATTGGTCTATGAGCTCATATTCTACAACATTTTCCAGCCGCTGCATTCAAAACTCCAGTGCTAATTATGAAAGTGTTACTGACACCTTCTCTCCTCTTGACCCCTTGCCCCAAAAATATAGCAAAGTAATTCTTCAACACTCACTATGGAAAAAGATCCGAAGTTTGAGGAAGAAAAGGGTTATGCAGCAGCCAAAGCCACATCATGTCTCTGATATGTAAACAAGCCACACTGTTATTATAAGTTCTTGACAACTAAGTGCAAGCAACATTGACACAACTCCATCATTCCATCAATGTTATTCAAACTCTAACATAGCCATTCCTTACTTCAAACTAAAGAGACCTGTGTGTTGCCAATGTGGTACTTAGTCCGAACACCAAGATACGTGTAGCTTGCATACATCATCCTGGCTATCAAACCTAATACAACTACCTCTTTTTATTACCCTTTCCCATAATAATTTATGGTATGCGTCAAACTTCATATCTTGATCATTTGAATGAATAAGAAATTTCACTAACTATTTTTTTTAAGAAAAAGGAATCATCACACAGTTCCCAAAATCCTCTTCATTGACATCTTGATTCCCAAAACATGAGATCATCATCCAAGAGTCTATAATACCAATAAACCATATGGATGCAAACACCGCCCCAGAAAAACAAAAGAATCATCTTTCCGTTTCTAAACACTCTAGTAAGCTCATCAAACATAAAAAAATAAAACAACAAAAAATAAAAAATAAATAAAAAACATTATAAGTACAGCTAAAACTAGTATGACCACAAATTTAAAGTTCGAGTTTCATAAAGAACAAATTGGTAAAATTTTAAAGCATTTTCAACATTAAAGTTTCCAACTTTCACAATATATATCAATAATGAAAACAAAGGAAGGAAAAAAATACCCCATTTTTTGCTTCAATAGGATGCTCGTTGTCAATGTGGCAGCACAGTCCAACAATATCAAAATACTCTGCACAAAATGGGCATGGAAACTCCTCCCTTATATCATCATCTCCTTCAATATCCTCAAATCCCATAAAAACATCTGTAATTTCCCAACATTAAAACCCAAAACATTAACTAAATTACCCAAAAATTGAAAAATAATAATAATAATAATTAAAAAGGTTTTTTTTTTTTTTTTTTTTTTTTGTGTGTGTGGGTATTTTACCTGATCGAGTATGGAAAGCAGATTGATAACGCTTAGAAACAGAAGACAAACGAGCAGCCCAAGAATCACCATCCATTATTAAAATCGGGAAATAAAAACTATTGATCGATTAATTAGGGTTTCGATTCGAGCTACTCCAGAAAGTTCAGCTCAAGTAGATGTAATTGATAATTAATAAAGATGAAAATTGGGGATTTTTCAGAGCAAATGAAGAAGAATGAGAGTGTATGAGCTCAGAATTGTTGAGAGAAGAGGAGAGAGAAAATGCGGATAAGTGAGAAAGGAAGGTTGAGAGATGAGATGAAAATACCAGCTTGCTCTCTGCTCACTTCATTATGCCAGTTCTCCGTCTTTTTTTTTTTTTTTTTTTTTTGGGTATTTTATTGGAATTTTGGGTGTGTTTTTTTTTTTTTTTTTTTTTTTTTGGGAAAACTTTGATCTTTGTAAGTTGTAAGATTTGCAAACTCAATTTTTGTTCTTTTGTTGTTGGATACAGCTTCTTTAATCATGACGGCTCATCTTTGTCCAATTGGCAAAACCATGCTTTTCTTTTTTGGAATAATTTAGGTTTGGTACTTTAGTGTAATGTTTGTTTAATTAATACGAGTACATATTTTAATCTATGTCTCTTATATTATAAGAAAATAGAGTTGGCGTGGCGGATCTTAAAATCTTTTCTTTTGGGGTCAATAATTTCTAGTATAATTGTTTGTTCATAAGTGACTTAATTTATTTATTATCAACACATCACAATTCACCAATTTAAGCATTGAAAAATTAAAAACAAGTTGTATATTGATAGATATTAGTGAAGAAATAAAGAACGGGATATCGAAGGCAAAAAACGTACTCTTTACTTTCAAGTGATCAATTTAGTTACCTCGATAACGTCTTGTCTCTTAAAAATATAAATTTGTTTTTGAGTGCTCAAATTAATCAATATATCAAGGAAATTTAATTGCCAAAAAAAAATGAAAACCGAAAAATTGTTAAAACAAAAAATTGAAAAATACGGAATAGTTCAAAACAATAACATCCATAAATGATTTAATGTAAAACGAATTAAAACAAAACCTGATATTGTTCAAGGTGCAAATACTTTATCAATTTATGGTTTGATAAGGAAAGAATGAGCCTAGTAAAAGAGGGAAAGGGGTTGTCATTAGTGCTTTATTGGGATTTAGAAGAGTTGAGAAATGATATAGGTACCCCAACTTTCAACAAATTAAGGAAGTGGGTACTTAAATTTTTTTACTAATCATATGGGTACTATAACTAACACTGTTAATTGCCTGCTGTTAAGTTTGAATTAAAGAATAAAATAATTCATTAAATGAATCCTATTACAACCAAAAGCATCTTAGATTAGAAAAAAAAAATATTGTCCAAAAAACAGCAGGCAATTTTCATCAACCAATTCAAATCCTTATAGAATACATGTAATTCAAGTGATATAATCAGAAGTAGACTTTAAAAAAAACTATTCAAAATCACATCCAATAAATCACTAAAACCCTTCCTAAATAAAGCACATAATTGAAGTGTAAATTTGATAGGAAATTCTCAAATAAATTAAGATACTCACATGTTGGCTGCCGACATTCATCCTTGCCACTTGATTTGCAGGACCTTCAATCCCCTTTTTTCCAATTCCCAATTTGTCGTATAAGAGCATCATTATTGGTGAACACAAAAAAATGGTTCATGGGTCACTATCACCATTTCTCTCTCATCCACATCAACCCAACAAACCGTTTACAATATTCACTCTTAACAATGAACACTAAACAATGGTTCATCATCAATACTCCCTACCCCACCTTATTTTATTTTTTGTAAATATAATTTTTTTTGTTTCATAATTATAATTTATTAACCCGATGTCAATATAATTAATTGACGTATTTAATATTTTAATCGTGATTACTAATTAAGAAATTATCGCATTTTTTTATCAGCTTTTTAAAAAACTAATTGATTAATATTTTTTAAACAACAACGCAGCTAATTTTAATTAACAAAAAAAAAAGAGGTACAAATCGTGATTACAGTTCTACAACTATAATCTAGTTGGTAATTATAGAGGGGATTTTTGAAGAGAAAAATATAGTAGAAAAAAATGAATTTTCAAAGTTGAAAAAAGTATATCAATATGGGTGTCTATTTATAGAGGGGAAAAAAATAGAGTCGTTGGTAATTTTTTTTTTTTTTATTTGTATTTTGTAAAATATATCCGTTGTAAAATTACAACGGATATATTTAAAACAGTACACACGTGTCAAGCAGCGGCTGGGCCAAGTGGCGCGCTCCCAGCCGCTGATTTCTATTTTTTTCTGACCTTTAACAGCAAAACAACGTCGTTTTGCAACATGAAACAGCAAAACGACGTCGTTTTGCATGAATATCAGTCCAAAATATTGGTGGGGCCCACAGCGAATTAATTCATGCAAGTGCTTGCTCCTGCAATCGAACCCATGACCACTCAACATGAACAATTAAAGAGTTTGCCATTAAGCCACCACCTTATTTGCTCACTCATTGTGAACTATTAAAATGTTCACCCTTAAAGATGCTCTAAGCTTTGCAAGAAGTTTTGTTGTTTTTTTTTTTTTTTTTTTTTTTATTAATTTTTTGGTTTTAAGAGTCTTCAGAGGTTATTGGAAGGGGTTTTTTCAGCGCCTTGTCATAGTAATACTCCATGTGTCGTTTCCACTCATCTTAACTAATTAGATAGTAATTTTTTTTTTAATCTTTTGATGGTACACAAAGGACGTTAAACAACAGTACCCATATGATTAGAAAAAAAAGTTGAGTACCCACTTCCTTAATTTGTTGAAAGTTGGGTACCTATGTCATTTCTTAACTTGGATTTGGAAAGTTATAGCAGTAGATTAGTATATATACTCTGTATTTAGCCTTCCTAGAAAAATAAAAAAAAAACAATCAATTTATGTTTAAAGGGCCTTTACCTACTGCAATTTTTTCCTCAAAAATCTTTCAAGGGCCAGCCCCATTGAGCCCTAACTAACGTCCGCCTCTGCTTATTGGAAAAAAGCTTTTTGATACGGACAATCATCATCCATTGTAAGATAAATTACTAATATTTTTTAACATGAGAAATTAAACATGTGTAAAATATAAAATAAAAATAAAATAGGACAGTAAGGCTCATAAGTTTCACACTTAAACAATTTGATCTATATCACTATTGTTTGAATTAAAAGGATCATACAACCGATGTGAGATTTCTAATGATTGTATGATATACATGACATATTATTTTTCAAAAAAAATATAAAGAGATAAACATGACATATTACATTATACGGGAATACAAAATCTAACCAAGTAATCTTCTATGGTGAATCACCTTGTAATTATGAGGTAGAGGTGATAAAATAGTGGTATCGCTCCCACCTCATATCCCTGAGGTTTAGGGATCATGAGATCAAACCTCATGGGACTCATTTGAGGGATTTCATTTTAGTGCCTCTTAATTGCATTTGTCTAAATTTTTTATAAACTAATAATATGTTTGAATATAAAAGATATATTGTAATTAAATTAGATTAATCGATAAGCTGCATTCTTTTTACCTTAAAAAACTAAAAAAGCATAAATTACAAGTCTAATAAGCTACATTAAGTCCTAAGTTTTAATTTTAATAAAGCTCACTATTTAAGTATTTAACAGATTCACTAATTCAGTTAAGATAAGTTTAGTCCGATGCACTTTTATTAGGCTATTAATTTTTAAATGTGGAAAAAAAAAAGTCGTTCATATTGCCATTACCGAACTTTCTCTCTCCCCGCCATAGAAGCGCAGATTGCACCAATTCAACCTCTGATCACCCCTTCACCATTCTTCTCTCTCACATTGCCGCCAATTTTCCGATCATAATTCAGCATTTTCTCTCTCCTTTAAATCACTCTCCCTCCCAACACATTTCCATCTTCTCTCCTAAAAAAACAGAGAAAATTAATGTAAAATGTGCCGAAATTAGGGATTTTCAAAACTAAAATTCCTCGAATTCTTCCTCAATTCAACCATTACATTGCTAAAGTTGATGATATGAGATTTCAATGACGTCCAGAAATCGGACGATTTTGTTTAGGCAGCACAGAGATGCGCTGAAGAGCGTACGAACGCCGATCGAAGGAACGACGTCGCATCAACATAGTATTGAATTGGCTGCTACCTCTTTGCTTCATCGTGGTGCTCGTTCTTATACGCCTATTAGTTCTGAGGATCCTGGAACTTCTAGGTTTGTTCATTTTTTATTTGGTGATTTTTTATTTATTATGTTTAATTGGATATACAGTATTGTTTGATTGGATATAAACGTAATCGTAATTAGCATTAGTTTGTAAGGAATACGATTTTGAATTAGAGCTGTCTTAAGTTGACCCAACCCGAACATAACCCGAAAACAACTTGTATGTGATTGAAGAAGGTGCAGGGAACAGGGCAATGTACTGTTGTACTAGAAGAATGTTGATTGGACGTATGGAACTATGTACCATAAATCGACTATGCCGAAATTTTACCTCTTAGAGACCATATATGCCTAGGAAGTTGTTTATAATTAGACAACTGAAACAATGGTGAGATTCTAATCATATAGTTGGAGTGTTATAATTTGTTAACATGGTCTATTGCTCACCTTTCTATAAAATGCTGTTTTTTTGCCATCAATATGTATGTATTGGCAATCAAATGATCTTTTCTTGGAGATAAATCTTGGAAAATTGTCTTTGAAAATTGTGATGTTGTCAATATATAATTTTACTGTTGCATCTTAAGGAATTTAAATAAGTTTTTTGCAGCAGGAAAGGTGCAGTAGAAGTTGGTCTGCCACCAGCTTGGGTAGATGTATCTGAAGATGTGGCATCAAATGTGCAGCGTGCACGTTCAAAAATGGCTGAGTTGACAAAGGCCCATGCAAAAGCATTGATGCCATCATTTGGAGATGGTAAAGAAGATCAGCGCCGAATTGAGAACCTTACTCATGAAATAACGAATTTGATAAGGAAATCAGAAAAGAGTTTGCATAGACTTTCTGCTGGTGGACCTACAAAGGACTCGAATGTCAGGAAAAATGTGCAGGTATAAATCTAACTTATCAGAGTTGAACTGAGTAAATAATGTTGGTCTTATGCTGCACTTGTCCTCCAAAGCGGGTCCCACAGTGACGATGACTAGATAAAGTTGTTGATTTATTTACTAAAATGCCATGTGATAAACACTTTTTTGTTTATCCCAGAGATTAACTGGGGCTTCCTCAAGGTTAAGTTTGGATGTTTTTACTGCAGCGTTCGTTTGCAACTGATCTTCAAAGCTTATCAATGGAGCTTCGGAAAAAGCAATCTGCATATTTAAAGCGCCTTCAAAAGCAAAAGGAGGTTAGAAGTACCTGATGTCTGCATAGCTGTTGTTTAGATCATTTGGAAATTTTTAATCACTTGGATCAAATATCATGCTGGTTATGCAGTTGTCCTATGACTGTATATATTAGTGTTACAATTGCTATCTTTATCTTATCAACCTTTAAACATTGAAAGTTGTTACTTCCTTGGTTTAGGGCTCAGATGGAGACTTGGAAATAAATATGAATGGAAGCAGATCTCAAGTCGAAGATACTGACTTGGATGATCAGGTACTGCAACCAGGTTTACTGATTTGTTTCAAGATTTACTGAGATGTTTATCTAAGAAATTAAGAGTTACTGTCGAGAACAATAAAATCATCCTTTTGAGACAAAAAGACATTATTTGTTTGGAAAATTGATCTTTAGTTTAGTGGCTTAGCAACTTTTCCTCGTTCTCAAAGTTTTTCACTTTTTTTCAGTGTGAATCAGAAACTGAGTAAATTTGAAATTATTTTAGGGAAAGTTCACGACTTGAGGAGGAAGAGTTGTTGGTCAAGTCCCACAAAGTGTCACCTTTCCTTGCAGCAATTTCTTGTGTATATAACCTATTGCTGATGGGCCTTTATCATTGTGGATCTTATGTTTACCTTTATAAATCGTGTCAAGTGCCAATTTTTTATGGTTCTATATTTTTATGTTCCATAGGAGATGAATGAGCACCAGCTAGCAAGGATAAGGAAAAGTGAAGCCTTCACTGTAGAAAGGGAGCGAGAAATCCAGCAGGTGAGTGATGCAGTTATAGCTTAATTGTTTAACAAGCCTAATTGCTTTTGTATTTGATTTTTAATTCTAAACTAGGATACTTCCATGTGCTGTAGAATATCTTTTTCCTGAGTTGCTAAATTTTTTTGTGGAAACATACTAATCCGTATGATCCTTGTTTAGTCTGTCTCCATCTTTTTTCTCGTTCTTTTTTTATTCACTCTTGTCAAGTACCTAATGCAACTTTTCTTTAATTACAAATGTATTTTGGTGATCAATGTCTACCATCACTGCTACTGTAGACATCAACCAACTAGCTGTTGGCTTTACTATTATGAAATTAATTAGATTGATTAATATATCACTTAATATTCTAATGTGTAATTTACTGTGCTGTAAGTTTTGATGCAACAGCTGTTTTACTGGAGGGGGAAAACATTAATATAGAAAGAATAATACAGAGAGAGAGTAAAATTTTATAACTGATTCTAAGATACATACATTCACATCCACATCCACATCCACATCTCGTTTCTTTCATGTTGTTTATAGGTTGCAGAATCAGTGAATGAGCTTGCTCAAATCATGAAGGATCTCTCAGTGTTGGTGATAGATCAGGTTAGCAGTTAAGCAACTTTCATGATATGTCAGCTGAGCATACCCATGAATGATATAGACTTAATGATCCATCATGCTTGTGTGCAGGGTACAATTGTTGATAGGGTAGATTACAACATTCAGAATGTAGCAGCAACTGTCCAGGAGGGCCTAAAACAGCTTCAGAAGGTCATCTTCCTTGTATATGTGATCTAAAATAACCGTTCAGTTCATTTCTTTTGTTGTGTCATCTTGTATGATTGATGCTTTTTTTTTTACTTTCCATTTTCTTCTTTCTGTTGTGGCGCTGAACTTGCAGGCAGATAGAAATCAGAAGCATGGGGGAATAGTGAAATGTGCAACCATTCTCATTATAATGTGCTTTGTCATGCTGGTTCTCCTAGTATTGAAGGAAATTATTTTGTGAAAAGTGAAGGTATTGGTTTTCACCTATTCAGGTTCTTGGCAGGTTCACCTAAAGACGCCGTGTACTTAATTTTCCATTCTGTTTTGAGAGCTTTTAATAGGGATTACATGAATCAAAACCACAAACGAGTGTGTATACATACAAATGTACTAAGACAACAATTACAAGACTACAACATCAGACAAAGGCAGCTATAGTTTTATTTCATTTATTGGAAGAACTACTCTGAAGTAAAACATTGGTTTTTTTAGATCTTTCTTCTTCAGATGATTCTTTAAAGATTCAGACATTGTTTATCTGTAAACATTATTAAGCAATGAAGCCAACATGTTCATTACGGAACACGTTACTCATTTTATCTAGGCTTCACATTGAACAGCATTCGAGTAATTCACGAGAGAGCTAGATATAAACATGCAATGATCAAATGCCTATAATATTCCTAGCAGCTAAACCATTTATGTTATTGGTGCAATATTTCCCCTTAATTATTATCAAGTCATACTAACTTTAAGTTTTCTTGATTGACCTTGATCTGAAATAGCAAAGTGTATTGATTTTGTTGTTAACAAAATAGTGTAGGTACCAAATTGCTAACTTGTTTGAATAGAAATAAAAAAAAAACTATATACATTGTTCAGGAAGCTCTTGTAGCTCAGTTGGTTAGAGCACCCGTTTAGTAAGCGGGAGGTCTTGAGTTCGACTCTCAACAAGAGCATTTTTTTATCCACAGACCACAGCCACTGTTAACCTAGCATCTCAGTGTCCTGATTTACAGCATACTAGACTACTAACATCAGCTAAGCCAGGTGATTTGTTACTCTTTTTTTTTTTTTTTTACACCAACAGATATTTACTGGCACAAATTTTGCTAGGTCGGGGGAAAGAGAAAGGGTCGAAAGACAAGAGGGTCCTAACACACGAGAAAACATCAGTCATTTTTACGGCGATAACCAGGAGTATTACCCAAAGAAAAGTCACCATAATCATTCCAACCATAAAGTTAAGAATGATGAGAATCAAAACCCCAATTTCATGGTTGGGAAGACTCCGCAAGAGCTCTACCATGGAGCTCCCCCCTGATTCACCTCAGGCAAATGAAAATGTGTATGTTTTTGCCATATAACCACTATTCAACCACAATTTTTTTTTTTTTTTTTTTTTTTGGTCTTCAAAGGTGTCACATATATATATACTACGTATATTAAAAAAAAGAAATGTAATGATCTGAAAGATCTATAACTTTGCTTCATTTCTATAACTGCCCAAATGATAGTAACACAATGAGTCATTTGCTTATAATTAGAAGAATTACATATAAATCAACAACAATGAATGATACAGTAATGACAAGGAAGAAAAGAACTAGCTTGATTATTTCTTTTTCTTCTTTGTACTGCTACTAGTTAATTCATCAACCGTAAAAGCTCTCTGCACTAGCCCGGCGATTGGAAGCTCCAGAACATAGGTTAACTTCTGAAGTACTAGTGATAAAGAATGCACATCTGACATGGCTCTGTGAGCTTCACCTACTTGAGAGATTCCAAAATGCTCTTGAAGTGCTTTCAACGTCTTCGACCCAGTTTTTCCTGAAGACAAAGAAAAACTTAAGATGACAATATCTCAGCCAAAAGAGAAGGGGATGACAATGAAAGAGACAACACCTGCAGATTTCATTGCTTCTTGACTTAAAGGAAGAGTATCCACAAAATACCAGTTCGAAGGGATTTCAAAACCAGAGCGTCTAAATTCAGCAACTAGGAACGGCACATCAAATCTTCGGGCATTATGTGCAACAAGCACCACATATCCCCCTGGCTTCTGACGGCTCTGGACATACTTGAGCAATATTGGAATAAGCTCCTTCATCCTACATTAGAGACCAAATGCGCCAAAATCATTCCAGCAATAGACATGGTCATCTTAAATTCATGATGTTACTTCAAATTCTCCTGCTCAAGCTCTATAATGTTTTGGGAGATAAATAACATGAAAAATAAGCATTACCAAACTAATAGTCTGTTTAAATGAGGAAATTTCAGGGGTAGGGGACGGGATGGAGAGTGAGGGATCTATATTCCCTTATTTACATATGGGATGGAGGGGGTTTCTTTTTTTCTTTCCCTTTCAATAAACTAAAATCTTTCACTACTGGACAGATTCGAAAGAAAAATTCAAGCACCCTTCCCTCCCCCTAATCTCCCTTTTCTCCACCCCCCTCCCCTTTCCTCCATAGCTGCGCAAACCAAACACACTATAAAGATTGAAAGACTACAAATAATTAAATAAAGTGCCAATGTCGATCCAGAAGACAGATCTACCAGGTGTTGATCCTTGACTTCCCACATCATTATCATGTTACCGTAACCGTTTAGGGGTTTAATGGATCTGTTTGGAGAGTAGTTTAACCAAAAAATTAAAAGAATAAAGCATGTGTACGCATGCATCTGTTTTCAACCACTGGATGCAAGATTTAATGCATAGTCGATTGTCTTATATATCTAAGTAGGTCACTATAATGACAAACTTCAGCTGCGGGGGCAGATGAAGAATTAACCAAACAATCTCACCTTTCCTCGAAGATGGCATGATGTTATTGAACATTAACTAATATACCCAGACCAACATCTTTTGTAAAGTTGTACACTACAATAACAAAATAAACTAGTGATAATTAAATTTATAAAAAAATTCTGGTTGAGATACCTTGGAACACCAGGTTTACTGACCATCTGGGTTGAAATACCATGGATATATTCATTTCCGACATCACGCCCAGGATTAATTAGAGTGTGGAACGTGCTGTTTTCACCACCGTGAAGGTCCTGAAGCGCAATCTCAATTATTCTTTCTACATTTCTACTAAACCCGGTTGTCTCAAGATCAAAGACAATAAAAGTCGCAAGGCTGGCCAACTCCTTATTCTCAGCTATTAGTTGTCGGACATCTGCACTGCTACCATCAGTTATGTTTATTGGGAAATCTGTGCTTGTTGTTGCAATTAAATTATCTGACAAGTCATGCCTGACATTAACTGCACTGCTCAAGGAGTTTTTGCTAGTTTCTTCATCTGCAGTGATTAAGGGTCTTCGACTCCAACTTCCAATGTTTCTTTCATGCCCACCAACACTAGAACTTAACAGCCTAAAATTAGATTTTTTACATGTTGGACTTATGGGGACGAAACCTACCCACCACGTATTTACCAAAGAGTAAACTCTGCATTTGGGTACTCGCAAGATTGAGTAGCACATAGGGGCTGTTCTCATCTGAACTTACAGCGTTCGTTCAATGAAAAAACAAAGCAAAGCAAGGGATTTTGTATTTGCATCAGAAGTGGATAGCTCAGACCTGATGACAGCAGTTTCAGAGAATGTGAAATGTGAGTTTTGTTTTATGACCGTAAAGGGAATTCAACTAGCATAAACAACAGTTCATCATCATAGGTTAGCAAAACAAATTTTAGCTCCAGCTGAGCTGGAAGTTTCCTTCCACAAACTTAGCATAGATTTGAAACTATATGTTTATATGTACAAAGCTGAAAAGAGACCAAGCTCCTTTCCTACTTTGGTGGTTATATGGCTCTATAATCAGCAAAACCTTATAGATACAGAGTTATAGACAAAACAAATAGACTAAGAAACAGCTAGAAGTTTCATGTCATAGGTAAATCATTAAAACAGCAATAACGTAATAAGTCTATCAGTGCTTAGTAGGAGAGTGATTTCCCTAGCATAACAAGATTAAAAACAGTAGAGTAAACAAAGTCAGAAAACTTCCAGTCCATGAAAAATTTTCAACTTCCGTTATCCCTATCCCATAGGTACAGGCATACAGTTACTACCATTTATCATCTAAGCCAATTAAACACTCTTTCACCTCATTTGTAAAAGAAAGCACTGGCAACTCTAGAGTGGATGTATAATTGAATATGGAATATCACCGACACTATTATGTCAGTTAGCAACAAAAGGAAGATAGGATGAATGTAAAAAGTCTGTGCACCATAAATAAGTTATCACCACCAAATAATACTCCTGTGTGAAACGTGACGATTAGTACAATTGTACAGCAAATCAAATCTCAATCAAGACAAATCAGCAGAAAGCTAAAATAAGGCTCGAGTTGCGAGATTTAGTGGACATTCAGAATTCAGATAATGGTTATAGTTACCATGCAATGGCATGGCAGCTTCAAATTAAGAAAACATCAGTCTTCAATACCAGCAAGAATTCATAGTATAACCGCTGTAAAACTCGGATAATGCCTCAACCTTTTGGTGAAATTAAATTACAGGAGGCTCAGCCTCTTTAAAAACATAACATGCTTCATAGCAACAACCTCATCATGAAATGCATATACTCCAACACAATGCAGAACCATATTAGACTGTTTCATAATTAGATCTAAGATTAATTAAACCTATAGTTAACAAACGGACCAAAATGATTGTGAATCGCAATTAACACAATCCAGACACCCAAACACATGAGAAATCTCTCTTCAACACCATTAGACAAAAACAAGGCTTAATTTGAAGAAACTGCATCAAAATTAATACTTAACAAAGTCAAAATCCAATCTTCATTATGAAAACTCGCTAATCTATTACTTCTCATGAATCATTCATACATTTAACAGAAAATTACTCCGAATGAAATATCATCCATTTTTCCCTACTAATTAACCAGCTCACTTGCTAAAGTAATTGGAAAAGGAAGCATATCACAAATGTTCAAAAATCAACCTAATGGGTTGGTTAATTTCACAATACCCAGAAATTAAATAATCAAAGGAAAGAAAATTACAAAGAAGAAAAGCTCAAACAAGCAAAAATTCAAACACCTAGAAATTTTAATGACCTGGGAATTAAACAAAATACACGCAATCCGGGTCAAAGTTGATCAAATCAAGCATCAATTAACAAAGTTATAAACTTGAAGAACATCATGTAATATGATCAAACTATATTGGTAGAATAAATTGAAATAAACTGAACAGTGAACAACCCATTTGAAGAGAGAGAAAGAGAAGACATACCATAAAATGAAAGCGATTGCAAATGAGAAACTGCATTTGTTGAAGTGTCAAAGGAAGTAGTTTTGTTTTAGTTAATTTTGGAAGTTAGAAATTTTATAGGAAAGAAAGGGCAGTTTAACGGGGCAAGAAAAGAAGCAAACATAACCCAGAACGCATGTGAGAGGAGAGAGAAAGAGAGACGCAAGCAGTGGATGATTGCTGATTAACCCAACCCTTCAAATCGGATCACGAGCTCGCTCCGTTTTTCTCGGGTTTTTTTCACGACTTTTGTATTGTTTCATTTCCTAATCTACTCTTTTTTACCTGTTAAAAAAAAAAAAAAAAAAAAAAAAAAAAAACCTTTTCTTTTTTACAATGTTCATCACAATTTACTTCGTACTTCATTTGACAATGTTAGGGGACTTAGGGCTATTGTAATTCACCTATTTTTTTTAGATTTATGGCTAATCATGATTCATGAGTAAACAAAAGGTGAGATTAGAACTTATCGAGTTTGATTAAATTAAATGAGTTTAAAACAAACCTGCCCTACATAATCTTGTAAATTTAGCCCCCTCATTGGCTTGTAGTATTTTTGAATAGGTGGGATGCCCAAGACAGTTTTGTACACAACAAGAATACTTATCTTTACCGACAATTCAAAGGCGTCGGTAAAATAAAAGGACCTTGACCGTACATCAACTCTTACGGATTTTTGGTTCGATATTTGCGGGTTAGACACTTTGAGAGTGATGGGAGGAAAGGTAAGGGATCCCTACCCTCAAAAGTGTCTCTTAATAAGCAAAAAAAAAGTGTGTTTTTGTGTAATCATTTGTAAATCCCACCGATGGGCTTAGTTTTCTAACCCACCGGCAGGGGAACAAAACTTTGTAGATCTAAACAATCCCAAGATCTAACCTAATTAAGTTCTGATACCATTTTAGATAATATAAACTTCTTGATCAGAGTGATTTCCATTGATCAATACTTATAGAGTTACAATAATGAGAGTCTTAATCATATTAGATAACTAACAAGATATATAAAGATATCATAAAGATATTCTTATACAAAATATATCCTAAACCTAGGATGAGAATATTATATGGATATTCTCTATCAGAACCCACAACTTTAATATTGGAAGGTGCAATCTTTCCCGCTATATCAAGCTTAGCTTAGTGATTTTATAGTCGAACGTGATTGTATTGATTTCATTCCCTTAAAATTTTCATCTAGTTTTGAGTCTTTTGACCATTTTTTCATAGAGAGGAATTTAATTAAAGTTTATTCAATAAGTATAAAGCTATACGATAACTACGGCTAAAAGGTTTTGATATCAATTCTCCTTATATAAGATCAAATCTTAAACATTATAGAGTAAAGAGTAAAGATCAAAGTATATACCTCGACAACCTCGTGTATCATATGTGCGTGCTTGAGCTAGAATAATAAATCCGTGGTGATCTTGATTTTTATTTTACCAGGGAAGAATTTTGATATCAATGCTTCTTTGAGATTAATTTTGAAAGAAGTGAACCATATGATAGAATTAGACAAAAACTATTATGCAATACATCGACACAAACTTTCGTCGACCCAACTCAAAAACTCTACTAAAAAGGATAGACAGACAGACTATATGCATGCATGCAATAACACTATAATAGAGCCAGTAGCCCAGTACACTTACACGTAATTACGTATATTGTAATATAAGTGGTTTAGCTGCCTAGTAGCTGATAAATGTGTGTGTTACCAAAACCCCTTTGATAGTAGTGTAAGTAAAAGCTAAGGACATATAACTTTATAATATTAATGGGGAAGGGGATTTTTTTTAAGAAAAAAATAAAATAAAATAAAAAAAATCGAAAGCTAAGATGAACAATCCAATCAAATTGAAATCTCTTATATGTTAATTTGGCCCGAGTTTATGTGCTATATACTTGAAAATTAGAGAGAAGGTTATTGAGGAAAATTCCTACCTTTAAAGCGTCCAAGGATTACTATTATGTCATAGTATATGCCCGGTCAAAAAATTTCATAAACAAAATTATTTTGTGGATGTACATTGAAGCACAGGAGTAGTATTTTACAAGTCAAGTCAATAGACTACTTGATAGCAAAGCAATAATCAATAGCGGGAATATTCCAATATTCCAATTACTAGTATTTCATTTTTTGTCCTTTTAATATGTAAGCATGAATAATTAAAGCACGTCTCCTGCTCCTCCTGCTCTAAATTGGACCAACAACCCTGATTATAGCATGAAAGGAACAAAGATAGGATTATTTTGGGATTTATGCCGTATTTAATCGAATTTAACAATTTTAAACTTCTATTAAAATCCATCAAAATCTACTCAATAAATTGAGCATAAAATATCCTTGTTACGAGTTTAAATGTGAAAATTGAACCTGATTAAAAGTATTCAAGGTGATTTTTCAAAAAAAAAAAAAAGTATTCGAGGTGATTGTAATTTGGATATGTTAAAAAATTAAGACAAGAGAACTCCACAAATTTAAAAACAAAGTGTTGTTATACGGTGGATCTTGTAAGTTGTAATATAGAATGGACCGACGTAATCCATTCCACAAGATGGTAATCAGTACAAGTCGCTGAATCACACTTTATTTTAATTGTTTAAACACAATTTTCAAATAAAGAAACCAAATAATTTGATTAATTGTTTGTTTAATAGTGGAATTTTACATTCTCCACATGATTACGCGAATCTCTATAAAATGTTTCTTTGTTTTCTTCTGAAAAACTATAAAATCTTAACAGCCCATCAACAGTTTTTTATAAACAAAGTAGATCCACCAGAACTCAAGATTGGATTAGCCCAATGGGCCATTAGACATTGGACCAAGTTGGGAGCAGATTCTTAACAGATCCAACAATGGTTATGGAATGCAACCTAATATTGGCTAATATAGTATATGAACTCAACATTTCACACTTGAACTGTTGAACACTAAGGTGTGAAATTCTCAATTAATTTTCACTTGTTTTAAGAAAATTAAGTTTTGAAAAAACAAGTTCAAGATATATACCTTTGAATAAGTTATAATCAATTCGTATGAACCGAATGACGACACTTCACAATTAAAATCAATGCACTTTATGTATATAGCACTTGTTTGGTTGACATGAAAATTAAATTTCCGTATAAATTTGTATTTTATGAGAATAATTTCTTCCCCAAAATTCCTATGAATTTACTTAACCCGGTTGGTAACAACAAGGGAATTTAAAATTCAAATAGTGGAATTAGTTTGACCGAGTTTGTTGATGAGTCTTTTATGAGTGCATCGGCTCATTTGCATGTCTAGCACCCATATTTTTTATTTTTGTTTTCTCTACCTACATTTTATTTATTCATTACTTTTTCTATTTTTGATCTAACATAAAAGGTACAACGGGAGATTATAGGTCATATATGGACATTATTTCACAAATATAGCTCAAACACAACATGTCATCTCACTTCGTTTTTATCATTTAAACAAATAATAAAATTTTATTAAGAAATCCGTTGGTACAACATATTAATTATGCAACAACATACGAACTAAACATAAATCTCATTTATGAATTATATAATATCTATATAATCCCACCACAATACGACTTTTTTGTACCTATTTTAGGCATCAAAATATTCACAATGATCCAACCCTTGCCCAACTTTAAGATCAAGTTATTATGAGTTTATGACTATCTATCTAATTTACACCAGTGTAGTAACAAACCCATCATGCAAAACAACCTGAAAGACATAAAACTACCCAAACTAACAATCCTAAAAATTTGCCACGTAAGTTCCCGCCTTCACTTTCCCTCCACCCTCATTTTGGCGGGTGTCCAAATTCTTCTGATTTCTGTTTTTATAGTTTCTCCCCAAAATATTTTTCCCCCAAAAATAAATTTTAAAAATTAGTGGGGTTCACTCATTTCCCCCAAAAATCCTGAATTTTCTAGTACTTTGCGCCTTCACCGAGCCTCTTTTTATGTCGGTTTTATTATCTGCCTCTTCTATTTATCATTCTTTTATTATTTTGCCACCCCAGAAAAACAGAGGGTAAATAATATTTCTGGGTTTATCAATTTCTCTGTTTTTCTTCATAAAACACCCATCTCATTTATTTGATTTTACCCTCTGATTCAAATAAATTATTCATAAAATTGAAGAATTAAAGGCGAAAAAATGAATGAGGCGAAGAAATTTTGTGCAGATTGCAAGACCACAAAAACTCCATTATGGAGAAGTGGTCCTCATGGTCCTAGGGTATAAATTTATTACATAATTTCTTTGTTTAATTATTTTTTTCTGGATTATATTCAATATTCTGATTGAATTTCTGGGTTATTTTTTGTTGCAGTCACTTTGTAATGCTTGTGGAATAAGATTCAGGAAGAGGAAGATGGCAGATGATGATCAACAACAACAATCCAATTCAGAAATGAGGGGAGAAAGTGATGATCAAATAAATAACGATCAACTTTTGAAGATGAATTATAACTACGGAGATATAGATGACATGATTTTAGCTCAAAGATCATCGTCATCATCTTCGTCGTCGTCGTCTTCACAGTTGAAAAAACAGAGGAGTAGCAGTGAAGATAGTATTAACAGTAGTAAGAGAAATTTGGGTGAAGTTGAGCAAGCTGCTGTATTGCTCATGTCTTTATCTTGTGGATCTGTGTTTGCTTAATGGGGGCATAATTTTTTGGAGGGTTGATCGATTAAGCTACCTCGGTCCGAATTAAGTTGTCGTATGGTAGTTCAAATTACACTATTAACGTGACTATTGTATTCAAACGGAGGGAGGGATTAGTTGATTACGAGTAGATCTTTTTACTAGTCTAGTTAATGATTGTTGTGGTTTAGTGGATGTTTTTGTTTGATTTAGGAGAATGTCCTAGAAAAGCGTAGAGAAGTTTTTAGGTAAAATGAAAGTGACAAAAGAGGTGCTAAAAATTCGTGGCTTTTGCTTGTTCGACTTGTAACCTCTTTTGTCACATATTAGTGGACTTTGTCAATATATATATTCTGGATTATTGTTGATAATTTTTGTTTGATCTCTATTATGTAATCAACGGCTTAGACTAATTTGTTGTTGATAGTTGCTAATGGCTATCAGCTTATCGAGATTAAGTTATACTCCGATTTGCTCCTACATTAGTAATTCTTTTCGTATTACTCCCTCCGTCCCCGAAAGAACGACCCTTTTGGGTTGATTTCGCGGGTATTAAGAAAGTTATTGGAAGTATAAGAGTGTTTAGGGAAGCTAAGAAAAGTAAATTGAAAAGGGAAATTTACATTGGAATTGCAAAAAAGTAGAGAGAGAAAGTAATAAAAGTATATAGAAAAAGTAAAATTTGCATGGGGAAGCTAATTTTGTACAAATATTATTGCAAATTAGAGGGTATTAAAATGAAAATGGGATGAACATTTTGGGACTAAAATTAGGTCAAAATGGTCGAACTTTTGGGGACAGAGGGAGTATGTGTTTGAAACGTGTCATATGCTTAATTATGAGAAGTAGAATAAAAATAACAATTGATTCCAAGATACTTTGTACATTGTACATCTTATATCCATCAAGATTCAAGAATACTCATTAGGCCTATATATAATGGCGATAACTGGATACTGGTAGCAGAGGAGTTAGAGTAACGATGAACATTTATTAATTATACAAACAAAAGATTAATTTGAAATCGAATTGGATGGGCAAGACTTCAGGAGGTTTTTGTTCAGTTCACACATCTCCAGATATTAAATACATTATCCATTTAATTTGTGTATTTATTAGTACATACAAAAGACACATTCATCTCCAAATATATGCACCAAAACTCCTTACTTTGAACCCAATCTCAAATAGTCAAATCCCTTCATTGTGAGTTCATTTATTGTAACTCATATGTTGGTCTCCCATGCCAGATGATTCGACCCAAAATTAAAATCACAGTGTTGCAAGCCTAAAGGGCCATTTACTCGTTTAGTAAGATCAACGCTCCACATATCGATTACTATTGTACTTCATCCGTATCAAAAAATAATAATTATACTTTATTAACCAAAAAAATAATTGGAAATAAGAGAGATTCAAAATGTGAAATCTAGTACAAGTATTAGTTTAGGGAGGCATATTAACATAAAAAAGATATATTATGGCTCTCAATGTACAAAAAATTGAGGCAAAATTTGGTTGAAAATGAATAATATAATGTCAGTCAATCAATTTAAATCAATTTCCGCCAAAATACATATTCTTTGTGGAATTGTTCTTTTTCTTTGAAGAAATAATGCTAGTAAATTGTCTTATAATTAGATAAATATTTATTACACCGATTTACTCATAAATTGTCGATAAATTCCTAACTTAATACTCCGTACTAAAAAAGAAAGTATATTAAATGTTTAGGGTTGAATATAGCATTGCCCTTGAAAAATCAACTTTTATTGAATAATTCTATTCAGAGTATTAATTGAAGTGTTTGGAGGGAGACCTCTTAATGTAGTGGCACAAGAGGTCACCTCGCATCCTCGAGGTGCGATGTTCGATCCTTATCAGCATAAATTCCACTCCGCCTTCGATAAGGGGGCCGGTTAACCTTACCATAAAAATAAATTAAAGTGTTTTTGGCCATACGTTATTGTTTTGGTGTCATGAACTCACTCAAGATGCCCATTTAATTGTGGGCCTCTTACCAGAACAGCCCACAAGGATATTGAACCAAATCTGGAAATATTCTGGCTATCTTAAATAATGCCAAATCCAAGGGACAAGATTATTTTGCCTACAAACAGAACTACACGACACATGATAATTTCGAGCCTAAGGAGTAAGGATATGGTAGGACGATTTAAAAGGAGGATTCCCCAATTTATTATGCTCATAAACAAAATTCATTAATTTAGTAATATTTCTGTACATAAATCAATAAAAAATTCTAGTTGTTAAGAGGTAACTATGATATTGTATATTTTATGATGATGGAGATGGAAGAGAGCAAAAGAGCAATTAGAGAATGTCGGTTTTTCTTCTTACACTACTAGTTCACAAGATAGTGAACTTATTTATAGGCAAATATTGCCCATAAAGTATGTTACATAATTGTACTTATATACAAATTATTGTCCTAAATATAGCTCATGTGATGAGCTATAAGCTATTGTGCTCCAAACTCATGTGAACTTCATTTGACATTTTCTTAACACTCCTCCTTGAAGTTCGCATGAAATGAAGTATGGGTTGCTTCAAAGAAAAATATTATATGCTTTGATATACTGCCTCGTTAAAAACCTTGTCAGGAAAAACCCAGTGGGATAAAAACCTGATCGAAGGGAAAAAGAGTGCAGTGCATATAATACTCCTCCTGATTTCAACATAGATCACGAAGATGTCGCATTCCAATTTTGTGAACCAATTGCTCAAATTTCTTGGAAGGAAGTGATTTGGTGAACAGATCGGCAAGGTTGTCACAAGACTGAATTTGCTGGATATCTATTTCCTCATCCTTTTGCAGATCATGTGTGAAGAATAGTTTTGGAGATATATGTTTTGTTTTATCTCCCTTAATATATCCTTCAGTTACTTGAGAGATGCATGTTGTATTGTCCTCAAATATGGTGGTTGGATTTTCTGTTATTGCTTTCATTCCACACTCTTCTTGGATATTACTGATCATCGACCTTAGCCACACACATTCTCGTCCTGCTTCATAAAGGGCTATCAACTCTGCATGATTTGAGGATGTCGCGGTCAATGTCTGTTTCGTTGATTTCCATGATATTGCAGTGCCGCCATAAGTGAACAGATATCCATTTTGTGACTTGGCATTTTGAGGGTCCGATAAGTATCCAGCGCCTGCATACCCAACAAGAGCAGCATCTTGTTTCGGTTCATAATATAAACCAAGGTCTTGTGTCCCTCGTAGGTATCGGAGTAAGTGTCGGACTCCCTTCCAATGTCTGTATGTCGGTGCAATTCTGTACCTGGCTAACAAATTTACAGAGAAAGCTATGTCGGGTCTAGTGTTGTTAGCTAAGTACATTAAGGCCCCAATTGCACTTAAGTATGGTACTTCTGGACCTAGAATTTCTTCATTTTCTTCTCGGGGTCTGAATGGATCGTTTTTCATATTCAAAGAACGAACAACCATTGGGAAGTTGATTGGAGTTGCTTTGTCCATGAAGAATCTTTTCAAAACTCTTTCTGTATAGTTTGATTGATGGATAAAAATACCATGACTCAAGTGCTCAATTTGCAATCCAAGGCAAAATTTAGTTTTTCCAAGGTCTTTCATCTCAAATTCTTTCATCAAGTATTTTGCAGTTTTCTCAAGTTCATTTGGGGTTCCGATGATATTCAAATCATCAACATAAACTGCAATAATAGCGAATCCTGATTGTGATCGTTTTATGAAAACACAGGGACTAATTTGGTTGTTCTTGAACCCTTCTCTCACAAGGTATTCACTGAGACGATTATACCACATCCTTCCAGATTGTTTCAATCCATAAAGTGACCTTTTTAGTTTTATGGAAAGTAATTGTCTAGGCTTGTGGTTTTCTGGTAGTTTTAGTCCTTCGGGGACTTTCATGTAAATGTCTGTATCGAGTGACCCATACAAATACGCAGTCACTACATCCATTAATCGCATTTGCAGTCCTTTTGTGGCTGTCAAACTTACCAGAAATCTTAATGTAGTTGCATCAACTACCGGAGAATATGTTTCTTCATAATCAATCCCTGGAATTTGAGAAAATCCTTGGGCTACAAGTCTTACCTTGTATCTAACTATCTCATTACGTTTTCTCACAAATACCCATTTGTAGCCAACGGGTTTTACACCTGCTGGTGTAAGAGTTATTTTTCCGAAAACTTCTCGTTTTTCAAGTGACTTCAACTCAGCCAGCATTGCCTCCTTCCACTTTGGCCAATCACTCCTGTGTCGGCATTCTTCCACTGTCCTTGGTTCAACATCATTTTCATCAGACACAATGTCGATTGCGATGAAATTTGCAAATATTTCATCCACGATAACATCTTTCCTATTCCAATGAGTCTTGGTAGAGACGTAATTCATTGAAATTTCATTGTTATCGACGTTTTGAACGTCTTGTTCATTTCCCGTAGGGTTGTCTTCTTGTTCGTCCCCTTTTGGATTATCATCATTTTCTTTACTTTCATCCACATTTGGTCTTTCTTGACCTTCTGACGGGGGAACATTATTAGTCTCATTTTCTATTCCATCCAATCTTTTTAGTTTCCTTGGTTTAGAATTTTTTGAACCAAGTGGTCTCCCACGCTTTCTGCGTGCTTGAGATTCATTCTCAATGGCCTTATTATCAGTTGGGATTTCAATACGTGCAGGGGCATTTTCTGCTGGTATATGTGATTTTGTCACCTTCTTTGTGTCTACAAATGCATCGGGCAATTGATTTGCAACACTTTGTAAATGAACAATTTTCTTGACTTCTTGTTCACACATATTTGTTCGTGGGTCTAACATCAACAATTGTGTTGCATTCCAAATAAGTTCTATTTCTTTCTTGTGTGGGTCCACTTTCTCTCCCCCTAAGGCTGGGAATACTGCTTCAATAAAGTGACAGTCGGCAAATCTAGCCGTAAATAAGTCACCAGTCAATGGTTCAAGATATTTAATTATAGATGGGGATTCAAACCCGACATAAATTCCCAGCCTTCTTTGTGGACCCATTTTTGTTCGTTGGGGTGGAGCAATAGGAACATATACAGCACAACTAAAGATTTTTAGATGTGAGATATTTGGTTCTCTACCACAAACAAGTTGTAGTGGTGAGAATTTATGATAAGTTGTAGGTCTCAATCTAATTAGTGCTGCTGCATGTATTATAGCATGTCCCCAAGCAGATGATGGCAATTTTGATCTCATTAATAATGGTCTTGCAATCAATTGTAATCTCTTAATTAGTGATTCAGCTAGACCATTTTGTGTATGGACATGAGCTACTGGATGTTCAACATCAATTCCAATTGACATACAATAATCATTAATTGTTTGGGATGTAAATTCCCCAACATTATCGAGCCTTATTTTCTTTATTGTATGATCTGGGAATTGTGCTCTTAATTTGATAATTTGGGCAAGTAATTTTGCAAAAGCAACATTTCTGCTTGAAAGCAGACTGACATGTGACCATCGTGTGGAAGCATCAATTAAAACCATAAAATATCGAAATGGTCCACATGCCGGATTAATTGGCCCGCAAATATCTCCCTGAATTCTTTCCAAGAATTTTGGAGATTCAATAGCAATTTTGTTCATGGATGGTCTTATTATTAATTTGCCAAGTGAACATGCAGAGCATGTTAATTCATCCGATCGAGGAATTTTGGCATTCCTTATTGTATGTCCAATTGAATTCGCTATTATTCTTTGCATCATCCCAGTTGCTGGATGTCCCAAATGATCATGCCATAAAATAATCAAATGTTTGTCATCTAAATTCTGGTTAGATATCATATTGATTTCCATGGGTCGTATGTTTATACGGTATAACCCCGAAGAGTATGCTGGCAATTTCTCATAAATGTGTTTCTTGCCATATTTTCTTGCCGTAAGGCATAAATACTCCTTTTGACCCGTTGTCATTGTTTCTAAATGATAGCCATTTTGGCGCACATCTTTGAAACTTATGAGATTTCTTCGAGATTTACTCGAGTATAAAGCATTATTGATCATCAATTTTGTTCCATTTGGAAGCATTATACAAGCCTTTCCAGATCCTTCAATTAATTTTGCTGACCCGGAGATAGTGTTTACATTTGCCTGAAACAACTTTAGTTGTGAAAAATATTTCCTATCCTTTAAGATAGTGTGTGTTGTTCCACTGTCCAAAAGGCAATGATATTCGGAACCAACTTCGGGTATATCCATATCTTCATAAAATAAATATGAGATTAGTTTAGAATAATATCATACAAACTTTTATTTATGATAGAAATTAAGAGTACATGACTAATCATTTAAAATACATATCAGAAAATTCATTAAAACGTAGTATATATTACATCAGTAGATGGGTTAATTAAGCATTGTTATTTTCTCCAAAGATGAAATCATTCCCAGTTTCAGCATTGTCCATGAAGAAATCGGACACATCAAGGGTAGGACATGGAGCATTTTCTTCATTAACATAATTTGCTTCTGCATTTTTCTCTTTGCCTTTTACAGAAGCCTGGTAAAGGTCTACCAAATGTTTGGCCGTACGACAAGTACGTCCCCAATGTCCTGTCATGCCACATCTGTAACATGTGTCTTTTCCTTTTGAAAGAGTTTGTTTGTGGCTTCCAGATGACTGTCCCTTCTGTTTTTCAAAAATTTTGAAATTACTGTTTCTTTGAAAATTGTTTCTACCACGTCCTCGGCCTCGTCCGCGATAATTTCCACGGCCATTGTAATTTCCACGTCCACCTCTTCGTGCAGCATTTGCCTCGAGTGGATAAGAACTTGTTGCATTTGCCTCATGATGAGTGGCCAAAGACCCAGTTGGTCTGAGATTATGATTTTTCAACAAAAGATCGCTATTTTGTTCCGCAACAAGCAATACACTCATTAATTCATTAAACTTCTTAAAACCTCTTTCACGATATTGTTCTTGCAACAGTATGTTGTTTGCATGAAAGGTAGTGAGTGTTTTTTCAATCATTTGTTCATCGGTGACTGGATGATCACAGTATCTCAATATAGATACTATCTCATGTATGGTTGAATTGTAATCTATTACAGATTTGAAATCCTGGAACCGTAAATTTCTCCAATCAAATAATTCCTTAGGAAGGAGCACCCTTTTGTGGTGTCCAAATCTTTCATTAAGGCAGTCCCATAATTCTTTGGGATCTTCAACCATCATGTACTCAGTTTTAAGGCCTTCATGTAAATGATGCCTTAGTAACACTAAGGCTTTTGCCTTTTCTTGTTCGGTAATGGGTTTTTCAACGTCATTGCAGAAGTGGTAGCATCAGTTGTTTGACCAGGGGGACTTTTATTAACAGTATGCTCCAACCCTTGAGCTTTTAAATTCATCATGGCATCCACTTTCCATTCCAAAAATTTCTTTCCAGATAAATCTAGAATGCTGAATTGTCTTTTCACAAGATCTCCCATTTTAACTACAACAAATTACGTGATAATTAGTTTATAATCATACGTATATCACATGTGTTTAATTCTTCCATATTTTTAGTTTGTTAATGAAACACATGATAATTAATTTTTTTTTTAACAATAATAAGACATAAATAAAATAGTTCTTTCTCCCCCCTTGGTTTATTATTGTGAGTAATTATATAACTATGCAAAAAAAAATCATATTAGTCGTATAAACAGCAAAACGACAACAACAATAGTAGTAACAATAATTATAATAATAATGGTAATATTATACAATGATGATTTAAAACAACAAAACAACATAATAAAACAAAACATGCTTTTAACCGACAAAATAAACAAACTTCACTTGTACATTATGACAAAAATTAATATTGCTACTAACAGAACTACAAGCGCCGTAATTAGGAGAAAATATTGTTTTATTTTCTTTAAATATTCCTCAAAGGTGAAGGTGTGGGTGTTTTGGATGTTTTGGTCGCCGTCGGGGAACATATTGGAGAAGAAGGGGTGAATAATTTTTGGGTGATTTTTGGATAAAGAGAGGATAAGAGATTTGTGGTGAAAATCGGGGGAAAATCTACCTTTTATAGAGGTAGGTTTATCTGTTACTGTTTTGTACAATTGTAAAAATATCATATAATGGTTTAATGTACTGGAAAAATTATGATTCAAATATATGTATTTATAATTGTAAAAGGTTATCACACTGGGAATGCAAGCCATAGTGGTCCGAGAGCCCTAATATCTATAAAAGATCATGGGTTCGAAAACTGAAAGAAACACAAAAAGTTCGTAAAAGAAAGAAAAATAATAAGTATAAAAGGCTGCATCTTTTTGTCAATTTAGTTTATCATGTTTTGAGATATATGATATAATAAATGTTTGAGTTTCTGGTATAGAGGATTCCAAAATATGGGCAACTATAGAGCATACTCCTCAAAACATTTAGAAGTAGATAGTATTTATTTGTTATAATTTTGAGAAGTAGGTATAAATATACCTGACTAGTAACTGGTGCTGATAACGTGTTAAGAGGTAACTATGATATTGTATATTTTATGATGATGGAGATGGAAGAGAGCAAAAGAGCAATTAGAGAATGTCGGTTTTTCTTCTTACACTACTAGTTCACAAGATAGTGAACTTATTTATAGGCAAATATTGCCCATAAAGTATGTTACATAATTGTACTTATATACAAATTATTGTCCTAAATATAGCTCATGTGATGAGTTATAAGCTACTGTGCTCCAAACTCATGTGAACTTCATTTGACATTTTCTTAACACTAGTCACATTTTCGTAAATAAATTAGCATTGGTAAGATCCATAGTTATTAAAGGTTATTGCTTTATTTATCAAAAAAAAAAACCAATAAACTTGTATAATACTAATTGAGTAATTCATGTAATGCTGATCGAATAACCCTTATAACATTTAAAGAGTAACCTATATAACACTAACGAAATAAAAAATCCTACGTAGTATAACGACTGTCGACTGGCCATTCGACATGTAAGAATAGAAATTGTAGAGCTGATCAAGTATGGTCCGACCCAATTTTTTTTTTGGGACGGGTTTGACATTGCGTTTTTATGCATATTTAGTTGATTTTTAGGCCCGACCTGACTATTTTGGACGGGTCTGTGCACAAAAAATCCGGCCCGAAGCTTGACCCGACCCGCCCAATAATCACCTCTAAGAAATTGTAAAAGAGTGAGTGATATCATCACAAAGGAAAGAAAAAAAGAAGAGCTTTTTCGTACTGCACTACTGCGTAATAAATAATCTATTCAACAAGAATCATAGACCATGCCGAGTTGCCGCCGCATACCTGCATCAACACGTACACGTCTTTACTTTCCTTTTTTTCCAAATCAAAGAAAGAAAATACTCCACCTTCAATGGCTTAAAAATCATGATTTTTACAAATTAAACGTTACAATAACACAAAAAATAAATAGAATATTCTCCACCAAAAACAAATTGCAAAAGGTTTTTTATAGTCAAAGAGTCCTACAACACACTTTTAGGTTCGGGATAATAATAATAATAATAATTTAATAAACCCTAATTTTTCCCCCCTTTTCTTACTTCTTCTTCCTCCACCACTCAAATTCTTTCTTATCTTCCTCCTCCTATAAAATCCCAAACACCCTCTTATCTTTTCTTGCTCATTTCAGATTTTCCCCTTTCTTCTCTTTTCTGGGTATCCATTAATTTATAATCTCTTCTTCCCGATTTTGTGCTTCACAAAATATTATCTAATTTGATTGATAAAAAAATAATCAAATTTGATTCTTTGAATTTGCATTCACATTGTAATTCAATCTACATTTATAATGGCAATTCCCTGCACACATTTCATATCCTCTGAAAAAGCAGCAATGGAAAACGGGTTTTTATTAGGTTCACCCAATTCAATCTCATCACCCCGGGTTTTAACCCAGGACGAATTGAAGAAAATCGCAGCATACAAAGCAGTTGAGTATGTCGAATCGGGTATGGTAATCGGGTTAGGAACCGGGTCAACAGCAAAACACGCAGTTAACCGAATTGGTGAATTGCTTCAACAAGGTAAACTTACTGGAATCATTGGAATACCCACTTCAAAGATGACCCATGAACAAGCTGTTTCATGTGGTATCCCTTTATCAGATCTAGACTCATACCCTGTTATCGATCTCGCAATCGATGGTGCTGATGAAGTTGACCCGTTCATGAATTTGGTTAAGGGTAGAGGTGGGTCCCTTTTAAGGGAGAAGATGATTGAGAGTGCTTGCAAGAAGTTCATCTGTATTGTGGATGAAACTAAGATGGTTAAGCATTTGGGTGGAAGTGGGTTAGCTATGCCTGTTGAAGTTGTGCCCTTTTGTTGGAAATTCTCTGCTCAAAGGTTGAGAAATTTGTTTCAGGATTCTGGGTGTGTTGCAAAACTTAGGGTTTACCCTGAGAGTGGTGAGCCTTTTGTTACTGATAATGAAAACTATATTATTGATTTGTATTTTCAGAAGGATATTGGAGATCTTGATGTTGCAAGCGACACAATTTTGAGGTTGCCTGGTGTTGTTGAGCATGGTATGTTTCTTAACATGGCAACTACTGTTATTGTGGCTAGTGAGCTTGGGATTACCGTCAAGAATAAGTAGAATTTTAGTGTTTTTATATTTACTTTGATTTAGGTGAAATTTTGATGTTAAGTAGGATGATAGTATGAAGATTAGTCCTTTTTGTTATATGTTATATGAAACTAATTTGATGGTATCACATTGTATTTTTTTGGTAAATTGATCAATGATTAGCTGCTATCAGTTCTCACATATTGAGCATTTGGTAATTGTTATTAGATGTTATCTGATGGTGGCTGTATTGCCTGTATATTATTTTAAATAAGTGGATTACAGAGACCGCGAAAGTTGTGGTTAAGTTATCTATCGTTCAATAACTTTAGCACCGATGGGTTGTATTTGAATTGGTGGCAAATTGCTCAAAGATTTCACCCTACATCTCTCGATACGGCCGTCAACTCCGAGGGTGAATAAATCGTTCCCCTGCACTTCTTCCTTGTATATCAGACTATCAATATAGCTTACTTCAGCACAAGCAAATCTAATTATGCTGAACAATATGATTTCCTGTCTGGCAGTCTTAGCTTTGACATCCCCTTGGCAATGGCAACTTTCAGTTGACTTGTGTCGCTTTAAGTTGTACCTTTGCAAGTTGCCTGTTTGAAATTTTGGAATTACAGCTTACTGTAGGCATCTTTTTGGCCCATGCGCAAAATCAAATCTTTTTTATTCTTTAAGCTGCAACTAGCTTGGCATATATTCATTCGATTGGTAGCTGCGTTTCATTCTGTTCCAATGGTGGAGTTACTTTTGTCCTGGGAAGATCCATATACTGTGTAATTGTTTCTGTCTTTTGAAATGGCAAAGCTAGCAGATGCTCTGTGTCAGCTAAATGTGGCTGTGGTAAGATATTGTGTTACTGAATAAGTGTGTTCAATTTATTCCCTATAATTGAAGTTTCTTCTCCAATATGACTCCTTTGGAGTGTTGGCACCTAATCATCCTACCGTGGATATTTACTGTATGCCTAGATCAGAAATGTAGACACTACATTGTGGCTGGCTATGAAATTATGTCAAGGATTTGTATGTTGAGACTATGGAGTATGAAGTCACTTTGCTTATTGGCTGTGCTTGGTATGCATAATTGGACGAGCTGTTACTTCTTTGCTTATGCATACAGGAAATCTTGAAAAATATAATTGTTGCTGTTAGCTTTGTCATTTTGGTCATATGCTGAAGCAATCTTCATTGCCGGTAGTAATTGCTCTATATTATTTTGATTTTGCGGATAATCTATTGGACCAATTGTACATTTATCTTTGTATATATGATATGTACCAAATATCTGAATTAAAGGAGGCAAGACTATCAGATCTTGTCATCAAAATCATTTGATTTTATGATTATATACTACGTAACATACCACCATACCACCGTATTAAAAAAGAAAAAGAAATTCTAGAGTCATGATTTCAATTTGATTAAGAACTAATATCAAACACTTAATTTAAACAGACACGCCTCTTGCGTTAAGAGCATTGAGGTGCCACCAAGGCAATTGCTAACGAACTTGTGCCTGATGTCCTCAGCCCTTTGACTGCTTAATGTTCTGAAACATTAGCCTTAAAGTGTATCCTCCCTAAAGCTCTTGACTGCAAGTATGACAGCATAATAGCAGGTGCATACTTCGTTTAATGGTGAACATATGACTATATAATATGAGCATGCTATTTGAAATTCACCAATCCAAAATACAGCAGACTTCCCTGTTTGGCTCATTTTAACTTCAGTAAAGGTTTACCAGAGATACAAGATACAACTTTAAAATCTTCCACCTTACAGCACAAAGTTTTATCTTGATGCGGTGTTTGTTATTGTGAATACATTACTCTGCACCTTTTTGGAATTGGATCTATGTCTTGAACTCTTGAAATCATTCCCTTGAGTTTATGTTCACTCATAACTGAATAACTGTAAGTAAGTGCCCTGTATTAACTATTCAGATGAGTTCTGTTTTTCCCTGACACTTGTACTTTGCTATGTAATGTTCCTAGATTCATGTTGCTTTTTGTAAATGAATATTTGCTTTCACTTGTTCTAGTTTTACTTTACTCATATATCTGCTTCCATTTCCTTGATGCTTGATGTACTCCGTATTATTTTTCTTATGTTTCTCTGTTTCAAGATGTCTTAGTGTAGATTTGTAGATTTTATTAGGTCTTTAGTCAAATTTATTTTGTACAATTGTAATCATAAATTGAATTTGGAAGCGCTTTGAAATGGTCATAGCCTCGTAGATTTTTTATATTAATACGATATCCTTCTGCTAAATCTCATTGTATATATTCGTCTACTGCTAAGTAGGAAGATAATTCTGCACTGTATGCAAATTAAGCATTTCCTCTTCATATGTCAATATTGATCCTTTACCTTCTAAGGGACTTTTAATTTGACTGCTTTTTTCCTTCCCACCTGTGGTGGCCGGAAGGGTGTTAAGGCTCCCCTTCAAGGTACGTAGTTTATAAATTCCTACTTATAGGATTTGCTCTGTATATTTGAATATGCACCATGTTTAACATTCCATAAATCCAGTTAGTGGACATGATTGTTGATTGTGCTTCCTGCGTACCTCAAGTTTGTATGCATGAACATCATATGTACTGCAATGAGCCAGCTGAATGGAGGCTAAACATGTCATGGTGGTCCTTGATATATTGTGTTATTAACATACTATATTGCATTGTTCGAAGAATTCTTCTCACTATAATGCTTGCAGTAATTGATCGAATTGTCATGCTATCTCATGAAGCAAACATCATTCCTGTATATGGGACTTAGAGAAGGTTCAAGTGACATCACAAAAATGGCGGACTTGCCTGTTCTTCTCTACATATTCAATGCAACAAAAGGTGAAAAGGTTTGCAGCCAATTTAAAAGGTTAGCGGCTATGACATGGTAGCATTATTGGGCAACTTTGTGTTAATGCTGATCTCTAAGCATGTACTCAGGCTTCTGTGCGTGAAATTCAAGTTTCACTACGAAAAGACCTTTGAGACTTGGACAATGGATACAAGAAAAGTATAGTACTTGGAAATTGTTGATTTTCTATATGGTTCTTGACCTTTCTTTCCTTCTCTTGCCCTGTAAATACAAAGTAAAGTCTCTTTTCGATCTCTTTCCAAGGGCACCCAGTGAGAGAGACGATATTAGTACTTCGTATGTTATTTGATCCTTGACCTTTTGCTTTAGTCTTGTTTATGGCTCATACCCAAGTCCGTCGCAATAGAGGCTATTGATCTCGCGGAGGAATTATATATGTACCCGGAAATTCACACTTTCAAGTGGTATGTAAATATAAACCTGGGCGCGGGCCGGGTTGGCCCGCGTGCCGCCCGGCACGGCCCGCCGTTCGACGCAGCCCGACACGGCCCGATCTCCAGCCCAGCACGGCACGGAAGTTGAACTTCGTGCCACGGGTCGTGCCCTGATGAATTCCCAGGCATGGCCCGGCACGCTGGCACGGCCCGCGTGCCCAACGGCCATATTACCGTTTAAAAGCAACGGCTAGTTGCTTAATTAGCCAAAAAAACGGCTACTTAACGGCTATATTTTTGCCAATTTGCTTCCCAAAAATTCTATAAATACCCACCACCATTTCATTCCCAAATCACAAAATCACAATCTCTTCTTCTTATCTCTTATATTCTCTAAATCTCTAATAATCCTTATTTTCTTAAATTCTCTAATTATTCTCTTAAATTCTCTAATTATTTTCCTAATATCGGAAAAAATTAAAAAGTTCGTAATCGTAATTAGTGGAGCGTTGAAGCACGGTTGTAAGATCTAAACTAATCTTAAATTTATTATTGTTTTATTGTTATTATTAGAATAATCTTGTTTAATTATTATTGTTGTTAATTGTTATTGTTGTTGTTATAATTGTTGTTATTAATTATTATTATTGTTACAATTGTTGTTATTATTTATTTTTGTTGTTATTGTTATTGTTATAGTTGTTGTTATTAATTATTATTATTGATATTTTTATTGTTAAAATTGTTGTTATTAATTATTATTATTATAGTTAACCACTTTTTATTAAAAAATTTATTGTTAATTATGGCATCGAACAACCCATCATCTAGGTCTAGGGCGAAAGGCCGACTTACCCTTAGTAGTAGTTCTAGGGAACCACCAAATACAACGAGCCCCCAAATTTCGAGTCAAACCAATGACCCTAAATTTCGGGATATCCACCACCACCACTAAACCAATTTCCACCACCACCTAACCAATTTCCACCACCACCACCAAACCAATATCAAAATCCACAACAATTCCCACAATTCGGTCAATTCCCACCTAATTATATCGGTGATCAACAAAACTATTGTTCTAGCCAAGGTAGCCAAGAAAGTACCCGAATTCCCTCCAGTTCTACCCCTTCTACTGCCACTACTAACGCAGACACACATCATGAATGGTTAACCGAAAGTGAGATGGTACTTTTGAAAAACCGAAGGAGTGAGGTATGGAGTTATTTTGTCCTAAATAAAGAGGGTCAAAAATATGCAAAATGTAAAACATGTAATGGTGTATTCACGACATTTACCAAAAACGGGACGGGACACTTAACTAGACACAGGAAAGCTTGTGCAAAACCAGCTAGTGATCCAATCCAGCCCAAAATTTTCCAATTCCATCCATACGGCTTTACATACAACTATGAGAGGGATAGGGATGAACTAGGAAAAATGATAGTACACGTCGAACAACCTTTTCTTTTCTCGGAAAGTGACGCATTCAACACCTACATTAACAAAGCACTACAACCCCAACATAAAAGAATCTATAGGAAAACCGTTTGTTCCGCCGCAATGAAAAATTTCCTAGAGTACAAAGTCCGGTTACAAGCCGAATTGAGTAACCTTAACTGTAGAGTATTTTTGACAGCCGATTCTTGGGATAGTGGTTATAAATATCACTATTTATGTGTGACTTGCCATTGTTTAGATGATCAATGGTTGTTATAAAAAATAATAATACATTTCAAAATGCTGGAATACCCACACACCGGCATTAACATTGCTCACCATTTAATGCAAGCAATAGACGAATACAACCTTCGAGATAAAATGATGTCTATGACTTTTGATAATGCAACCTCTATGACATACACAGCTAATCTTATCAAACAAAACTTAACCGATGTACTATTAGACGGTGAAGCTCTTCATACTAGATGTGTTTGCCATGTACTTAACTTATGTGTACAGGATGGAGTTCGGGCAATTGGCCCATACTACAGCAAAATCAGAGATGCTATTATGTCTATTAATAGCTCTAACATGAGATACCAAGAATGGAAGAGTTTTCTAAAACAACAAAAGATAAGGGTAATAAAAATTAGAACCAATTGTCCAACTAGGTGGAATTCCACCTATGACATGTTAACAAAGGCAATTGAGTACAAGGGCCCGTTAACATTATTTTACAACCAAAAATTTCCACAAAATGCTTTGTATGATGATGATTGGAATAACTGTGAAAGATATATGCAATTTTTACAGTTATTACATAACATGACGTATTGTTTTTCTACTGTTTACAATCCTTGTGCTCAAAACTTTCTTTCTAATGCATGCTTACTCGCCCAACTTTTCGCTGATCATCGCCATCAAAGTGATTATGATCAGTATCTTCCAGCAATGGAAACAAAGTGGCGTAAATATTATAGTGAAATTCCTTTGATTTATATTTTTGCTTCCATATTAGATCTTAGGCAAAAGTATTTTGAGCTAGCGTGCCTTGCTGCCCAGCACCCAGCCAGCCAGTGCGCGCGCTGCTGCTGGGCTGTGCTGGTGCTACGTGCTGGCGCTGGGCGCTGCTAGCACCTAGTGCTGGCATTAGCCCCAGCAGCCCACGCACTCACTCTTCGCGCCTCACTGCTAGCACAGCCAGCATGCGTGTTGCTAGCGAGCCACGCATGCTGGCCACACTGCCCCCCCCCCTCGCACCATTCGCATACCCCATCGCACACACGCACTAGCACGATGCCTATGCTAGTACTAGCCAGTGCCTAGCACTGCTTGTGCTTGATGCGAGGCATGTGCGCACGTACACGCACTAGCCATGCACCACGCACCACGCACTGCCAGCCCACACGCATCACATGCGAGGCTGCTTGTGCGAGGCTAGTGTGCGAGGCTGCGAGTGCCAGGGCCTAGCATCGAGCTGGCGCGCAGCCCCTCGCATGTGCTGCAATGCTTAGTGCTGCCATGCAAAGGCTAGCACTCAAGCACACGCACATGGCGCGCCATTGCCAGGCAGCCAGCCATGCCAGCACCTGGTGCTTGCGATGGTGCTGCCAGGCCAGTCACGCACGCACGCAGCACCCAGTGCTTGCGATGGTGCGCCTGGTGATGCCATGGCCTGCGATAGGCGCCATATGCACCCAGGCACCACGCTAGCATGCTTGCTAGCTGCTATGGGCTGCCTGGTGCCTGTGTGGCCTGCGATGGCTGCCATGCGCACCTAGGCACCCATGCTAGCTTGCGATGGGCTGCTAGGGTGCGCCTAGGCTGCGATGGTGCCTAGCACACCATGGTGCGCCTAGCACACACATGGTGCACTTAGGTTTGCGATGAGCTACTCTAGCCTAGCTATGGCTACGCTCATGCTTGTCGATTGTGATTTTGCGACGCTCGGTATCGACGCCCTAGGCTCAATTATTTGGGTGGTTATATAAAAAAAAGGGAAAAAATAAATAAATAAAAAAAAGTGGGGCCCACCGACGGAAATTCACCGGAATTGCAAAATGGGTGGTAATCTGAGCAATTATTTTTTTTATTGGGTGGTAATTTAAAAATAAAAATTATTTGGGTGGTTATATCAAAACTGGAACATTTTTTGGGTGGTAATTTACAAAAAATCCTAAGAATTAAGTAAAGAATTTGGAAAAAAGAAAAAAATTTATGTAAAAATTAAGAAATAAAATAGGAAGAAGATTGAAGGAAGGAGATGAAGTAATATATACCAGTACTCCAGTAGTACATAGTATATATGTGTGTTTGGTGTATAAAAGGGGGTATTTGATGAGTGTTGCAGCTAGCTTACATGGACATAAGAACATGCCAATTTCTTGGAATTTAGTCAATTTACTTAACCTATTGGCACTTATTTGAAATGTGTTGAATTTTTTAAATTTATTATAGTTGTGAATTACACTATGTATTTATTTATTTTTATTTTTTTGTTTTGTGTTGCAAATGAATCACTAGGCGTTTCAAATTGTTATCGGAAAACTATGTCCTATTATACACTTTGTAGTTAAGTAGTCTTTGTTGACATTAAATTATGATTCGTAATACTTGCACTCAATGTTTAATATGAATTTGTCGGTATTTCTTAAATGGGTGAAAATAACATAACTTTAATAAACAGATTAAAAAGGAGGAGCAATTTTTTTTTAGACGTATATGGAAGCTACTTGTACCATCTCCTTCAGTTTTCGGATGGATATGCTTATTTTCTACCAAACAAACATTTATCTTGCTCTTTGAATTAAAAAAAAAACAGGGGATCAAATATCAACACTAATAAGTACTCGTATTATAAATTGTATAATACTCAGAAATAATACCGTATTAATATGTATATTTAAAAAAAAAAATTGAAAGATATATTCCATACTTAGCATATTCGACCTAGGCTAATGTTGTGGTTAATTTGAAATAAAGAAAGCCTATACAGAGTATATATGTACTTCATTCCAGATAATTTAAGTGTGAAAACCTACTACACGAAGTATATCACATATGACTATGTATGATATGTCACATGTAACATGTTCAATTCCCCCACCGGATCATTTGTACTCGTACGTGCCATTTCTTTGCCATCCTTTTCTTTAATATATGGACCTATACTCACCCTCTCTATTTTCACTTCCCTAAACAATCAAGCCAAATGCAAATGTAGCAAATAAAAAGACAATAGGAGAATCAAGAAGGAAATATTTATTTCACATTTCACTAATATTCTAACCATTACAAACTCAATACTCAAAAGAGGTTGAACAATTCTAATAAAACAAGGGACCCTTTTAATAAACAATTGAAAAAGAAGAAAGAAGCCTAAAGGTTGACACTATTTGGTTAGAAAAATCACAAACAAGTAAGAAACGACATCGTTTGAATGAATCAGCAACGAGGGGAGGTTCGCTTGGGTGCGGCGCTCCCTTTGGTAGCTGCACAAGTTCCACTACTTCGTGATCTTTTCGCAGCCGTTTGATCTGCGTTTAAGTCAAAGCACATCCCATCTCCACCACCCACCATTTCCACGAACATCTTTTGTAGATCTTCTAGACTCTCCGTCTGCCATTTTAGTATTACCATGCATTACTTATAAATATCCCTTGTCATTTTCATTCTAATTTTTCATTTATACCCTTAAATTATCTTCATATTTCATTTCAACCCCCTTAAATTATCAAAATTTCACCCAGTCCCTACATTTTCTAATTTACTAAAGACAACAACCCTAAGTCTCCACCTTTGTAATATTTTGATGGCAAAAATTAATACCAATAGATACGTGATTTTAACATAGATTTCAAAATTAATATTATTTTAAGCTATAAATTAATTAGTTACCAAAGACCTTGGGCACTCATAACAAGATTATATTTTAACACTATCACAATTGCTAAAGTAGAAGTTTAAAAATTAAAACGTGTTAACTAAAAAAAGACGAAAGAGTGGTAAAGTACATTCAATTGACCCCTTGAACCTCTACGATGATTTTTACGCAAGGAAAAATATAGTTAGGTGGAGTCTTATTACAGCTAATTATAGGGGAAAAATTGAGAAATTACCTCGCCTCTAACATTGTCCATCATTGAGAGCATCTCTTGCATAAAATCACAGAACCCCTGTTCCATATAATATTACACCTAATTAATTTTTAAACAAAATAGTCACATTACGACGTCGTTTAATTACAAACGACACCGTAATAGGCAAATAATCAACATGCAAAATTCTAAATTCCACCAAAACATTAAATGAAAAAAAAAAACGAACTTGATCTTCTTCTTCCGTAGGATCATAAAATCCGGCATCGTACATTGATCGCTTACCCTGATCCGACAACACTACATAATTCCCCAAAAATAAAATTAACTCAAATCAAATTAGATGAATTTAAAAAATCAGTAAAATTATAATTAGTGAGAAAAACCTGAATAAGCTTCTTGAATTTGCTGAAACCGGCGTTTCGCTTCGGCCGAAACGGAAGGATTACTCGCCCACCTATCCGGATGCCATTTCTTCACAAACCCAAATTAAAATCAAAAAGTAAATTTGAAAAATTCCGCGAAAAATATTTTTCATCAAAACAAACGGAGCCGAAAAAAGAGTAAATACATACAAGTGCAAGTTTGCGATAAGCGGCACGAATGTCAGACGGAGAAGCATCGTTACGAAGACCAAGAACAGAGTAATAGCAAGATCCATTTCCACCGTTAGATCCTCCACCTCTCTCCATTTTTTCACCAAGATCAAACGGCTGAGAAAAATTAGAATTATAATTCGAAAGTAAGTCGACAAATTGGGGAATAAAATTATATATTCATGGAGAAAATTGTAATGGAAGAAGAAAAAAGAGGAGAGAGAAAAATATCTGTGGAAAATAGAGGTGGGGATTTATATGTGAAATTATCTCTCTAACTCTCCGAAGAGGAGAGAGAGAGGGTGGGATTGAAGATGCTGACGATGGAGGAAAGTTCGAGAATTTCAGAATTGATAAAGTTAAGTGAAGGAAGAGAGAGGGGGGGGGGGAGAAGATATTTTTGTTGTGTGAGTTTGGGATTGACCTTGGAGGTGGGTTTATTTACGATTCTTGCCATTTTACTTGCCACGTTGGTAATTGTTTATTTGGAAATTGGGAAAGTAAATTAATTTAGAGGTAGTGGTGTTGTCTGTTGTGGTGTGGTTAGGTCGCGTGTCTAAAACGATGTGTTTTTGGATGTGTTGGGAGATTAAAGTATTAAACTGCCTAAATTGGTGATTGTGTCATGGTGAGTGTACTTCTGAAAATAAAATGATTTGGTCATCTCATGTAGTACGAGTAGTTTCTTAGATTTGTAGTTTGGAACTTTGATGCTCATTTTTGTATCATCAAAGATGATGCAATGTTTGCAATCTTGCATATACTTGTACATAATAAAACAATTTTTTCTTAAAAATTGCGGATCACATCCACTTATTCATAATAAAAAAAACAAACTTACCATTTTAAAAAAGTTACTCCCTCAGTTTTATAATAATTGTAACATTTTATATTTACGTTCATTGTATAATAATTTCAACATTCCTTATTTGGTAACGACCCACTACTATTTATTATTTCTCACTCCTATCAACCTTACTTACACTACTTTTAATTCTTTTGCTCTCCTATACTTACAATTAAATAAATCCCCACTAACAATACATTATAGTTTACATTATAAAATTCTCCTATTGGTCCCCACCTTAAAATTTTCCTAAACTTTTTTGCGATTGTTACGAAGCAGAAAAAGTATAGATTATGTGTAAAAAAAAAAAACAAAAAACAAAAAAAAACTATAGCTTACATTCATATTAATTATATACTCTCTAATATTTTGTTTGGATAAAAGGAAATAGAAGAAAGAAAATAGAAGATAAAAGGAGGACAATTTTTTTGTTTGGGTTATGGATTGCGAATTTTTTTATGTACACTCCGAGTGTAAGAATCACCTGGAGTTATTTTATGCTCATTTGATGTTTAATTTATTCATTAAAGTAATTTCATTTCCGCCAAAGTTGTAATACTTTGAGGAAAAGAATTCAATCTACACATTCAACGTTGACACCCCTGTCTCATCTAGCAACTAGAATAATCATCAAAATGAACAATAGTCTCCTTAAATCATCAAAGCTAAAAAAAATATCCTTGAATACATCGGGCACCCACCCAATCAACCTTTGATATGATAGAGGGAGGAAGGGGAAGGAGAGGGCGAAATCCATTTTTTCTTTTTCTTTAATAAACATAATCCCTCCGAAATTGAAGAGATTTAAAAGAAAAAGGGAGCTCACCTTTCCTATCCTATTCTTCCTTCCCTTCCCTTTAATTTCTAGCTCACTATGAGGGCAATACAATTATTTGGCTCAATGAGCTCACTAGGTTAGCCTTGTACGTTGCTTGATTTAATGAGGTATTTCCTATTGTATTGATCATACACTAGGTTAACTGTATAAATTATGTTACATGGACTTGGGTACTCATGTCTGACACGAAAACATGTCCAAACGTCCGACTCGGCTATTTTGTGAAAAATATCCATGATTTTGAACTAAAAGTAAAGTGTCCAAGTGTCACACCTAAGTTCGAATGTCGAGGGTCAGACATGGATATTTAAAGTGAAATAAAGAGTCCATATATTATAGCTTTTACATTAGACGATTTATGAGGGAAGCATCTTATTTGAAAAATGAAACTTACTACGTATAAATAATTAATTGTTCACAAGGGATAGAATTTTCTTAGGTTTCTTCCCGAATGTAGGAAAAATAAAAGCCTCAACGTATTGGGCCTTTGCACCAAGAAAAATTGTGGTTACATGCCCACACACGAAAGATCTACAAGATCCAACAATCTTTGCCCTAAATCAAAGAAATTACTAGGCGCCCTAAATTCAAATCTTTCATTACTTTCTTAATCTCCAAATTACTTTTTTCTTTTCCAATCAAATATTTATCCCCCATTTCATTCACATGTTTAATCTCAGAGAAGCAATCCTCAATCGATTGCATCTCAATTCAATTGCACAACGATGCAAATTAGGGTTTACAAACATTAATCACGCAATTTCTCTTTTCAATCAAATGTTATCGTTGGATCCTTTACCTTCTGCAATGGATTTCAATCATCTCTTCATCGCCATCTCTAAAATGAGACCTCAAAAGCATCATTCCGTCGTCATTTCTCTCTCAAGGCAGCTGGAATTATCTGGGTTTCGACCCAATAAGAATTCACTGGGTAGTCTTACAAATTGCTACTGTCATTTGGGTCGGGTCGATTTCGGGTTTTCGCTACTCGGTAAGCGTATTAAGCTTGGGTATGAGCCTGATATTGTGATATTTACTACCCTGATCAATGGCCTTATTGATGAAAATTGTAATAATGTTGATAAAGCTGTTAAATTATTGGATAAAATTGTTAAGCTTGGGATTCAACCTAATGTTGTTACTTATGGTGTTATTGTTTAAGGACTTTGTAGGAAAGGAAATAATGTGGGTGCTATTAATTTTCTCAGGAAAATGAAATCTGAGGGGGTTTGTAAGCCGGATGTTGTCATATATAGTACTATCATTGATGGTCTTTGTAAAGATAATATGATGTCTCAAGCTATTGAATTGTTTGATGAGATGCAAAGAGAGGGGATTTCGCCAAATGTTGTCACTTATAGTGCTTTAGTTCAAGGGTGTTGTATCGGGGGAAAATGAGAAAATACCCGAGAATTGTATTTGTTTAGGATCTTTGGGGCCATTGAAAACATAATTGGGTAATGTTTGATTGAGATGTTGGAGTATAGGTTTCAATGGGATTGAAGTGAGGGCAATATTGTTTTTGCTAAGAAGGGGATCACCCATCATGTGTTTAGAGACGTGTTGTCTTGTTATGCTTGGGATGTTGGAGCTTTATTTGATCAGTTGGAATCTATATGTGTGGAAAAGGCCCAAGGAATCGCTGGTAAATTGCCAAATTGGTAATAGATTTGACGGTCAAGGAGGAAGGTTGCGGAGCTGGTGATGGGATTTTGTACACATTGTTTAGTAGATATTGCAAGAGGGTGTACACTTGTATGGGGCTCAAGTGCGGTTAACAGAATGCTTCATAAAGGTTTGACATTTATCACTGTTACATTTAGTACTGGTTTTAAACCAGATCCTGTATTTTATTGGAAAACTTCATTTATGATTCTATATTTCTATGCCAGATGAGTTATGTGGCAATGCATAAGTGCAAAACCATATAGAGCAGTTTTATTTGGAATGTCAGGGGTGATGGAGTTCGCCTGTATTGTTGCCTACAAAATCCTAGTGTATGGAATTTGACTTCTTGTCCATTGAAAGAAGCTGCAGCTGCCAAACGTTCCCTTGATCTCCTACTGAAAGGTTTGCTACTAAATTTTTAAACTTGCTATATGTTTGTAATGAATAAAAGGATTAGAGAAAATGTTGCTTGCCTTTGTTTGCTGCAGTGATGGCATCTTAAATACTGTTATGACGTATGAGATGATGTTTTTTCATTGCGGACATAACAATGATTATGAAATATGATTGAATGGTGTTAAGGATTCTAGATATGTTTTTGTCACTGTATTGTTCTTTAATTTAAGTTCTGCGATCTTTGAAGTTAGTCATTTAATAGAATTGCTGAAGAATGTCATTGCTTAATGCCTTATTTTGAAGTTAGGGTGATAGATAGTTTGCCAGTCTTTGGAATTAAATTTTGGGATCCTTTAGGTAGTGCCAAAGGTGTTATTGTTTTTTCTACTGTGTTATGCTCTTATTATATAGTTGCAAAATATATAAACTTCACCATCTGGTAATATTCTGTTTTTTCGGTTGAGTTTTTTTTTTAACAAGTACCAAACAGTCTTGTAGAAGATTGTCCACATGGTTAGATTGCAAGATTTGCAACCAACCCCTATCACAGCATCCCGTTTGAGCTGGAATTCAGATTGCTTCAACATTATATTTGATAGCTTTGAAAAGATGGAACAGGAATCAATTCTGTAAAAGTTCTACACCAATTTCAAAGTCCCTCTCCAATAGTTTTTTATGCGAGAAACCATGTTCTGCCTTTTGCTGAGTTACTATAAAAACTAATGTTGAAAAAGGCCACTTGTTGCTCTGCTTTATATCTTTATTGTATTGTCTGCTTGGAGCCTCCTTGTGGCTTCACAAATTACCATGTCTATTGAAATTTAAGGGTGATGGAAATAATTACCAATAAGATCCTGGTCCTAGCTGCTTCCCCTTGCTGACCAGTTAAAAAGATACATATTTTTTGAACTTCTCTTCAAGTAGAGTAGGTGGATTCACTTGACTAGCCCAAGCAATTTATAAAGAGAAGGCATTTCTGCAGCATAGTTTTGCTGTTTTGCATAACAATGAGATTTGAGAAGTGACTTGCTGCTGCTTGATCTGTGCTTCTGATTACTAAACTGACTGAATTTCTACTAGTTACAAGATATCTTGTGTACGATGAATTTTCTTGTGTCTTTATTGGAGATGTTGCCAATAGGAGTTTTAAGGGGAAACTAGCTGTTCCAGATTAGCTGAGAAGTGGAGAAGTTACTATGTAAGTATCCAAACTCCAAAATAACCTTCCTCTCTTCTAGGATTAGCTATATAGGACAATTGTCATTTTTTACAACTGAATGTGATGGCTTTTCTCCTAAATGCTCAAAGCTCTTTTGTAGTTGATTATCCAAACTCATTTGCCTTTGCATCAACCACACGTTAAGCCATCAACAGTGAAATTAATAGGGTGCACTTGAGTGAATTCTGGAGAAACGTCTGTCAGTCATATATCTTTGCTGTTTGGGGTAGGATATGAGATTCACACTTGTACTTGGGTACCAGAGTCATTAACTCAATTATGAGTGTCCTTAGCTATATTTGTATTTTAAATGGTGGTTATTAATCTCTCCTTTTTGTATGAAGTTGAAGCGTGCACATACATATTCATTTGGAGTGTCAACTGTCAAGTATTAAGTACGAATACTTCTCAGTGATACATTAGGTGTTCCTTTCAAGATGAGGACCTCCTAGTTATGTTTTTCTCCTTATCTTTGTATCTAAAAAAGTATCAAGCATAGAATTGGCATGAAGATTTCATGCAGTTTAACCAAGCATCGCTTAACTGATTGATTTGGGAGCTAACTGCATCACCTGAAAGCTTTCTCATCTAGCCCACATTTGCATTACCAAATCCTGCCATCATAATCTTTCTTCTAATTGAACAGGGATGTACTATAGAAATTGATAGACATTCAATACTGCATGTCAAGTAACTATTCTCAACTACTACTTTCTCTCTATGTACCTTGTTGAATTTCCCTTCAACTTAAACATGAGGTTTATTTTGAAGGTCGAAAAATTCATGAACCCTTTCAATCTTTGTCACTGTTCACGATTACCAAGTCATCCAAATCAATTTTATTGTGATTTTCATCTTGTCGAATGTTGAGACTGAAATTTCCAGAATATATGTTTTGTGGAATATGTATCTTTATTTTTTTTGTATGGCGTATTTCTGCAAAGTCTGCTTCATGCAATGCAATAACTTTATATTGAGGTGAATATCTTGCTTCTTTTTTGACAGGATATTTAAAGGGAAGCAGGTGATTTGAAATTTTTCTCCAGTCTTGTGGAGGAAAGAAATCACTTTTCTTGCAAGTGGAGTACAATTGTTGTGCTAAATTAAGGTAAGTGTAGATATAGTCACACGTATGATGTGTATATTCTATGGTTTTGATCGGAAAGAAAGAGCAAAGTGTGTAGTCGAAGTCAGCAGAGTTATTCTACTTTAAAAGAGAAGACGAAATCCTATGAAGCTAGAAAGAGAAGATGATTTATGATGACTTATATCAATGATGCTTTGAAAAGATTGGGCTATACTAACTGAATGCTCGAGGAAGAGAAGGGGACAAGGTTATGAGACAAAGAGTCTTTGATGTTTGCGGCCTTGTGCATTGTAATTTTTTTTTTTTACAATAATGTTTTGTAACTAGTTAGGGAGGAATAAAATGTTCATTAAATAATTTGAATTTTGAAATGAAATTAAGAAGTTCTTGCACATCTAGGATTTTAACAAATGATTTAAAGTCAAATGATTGTTATATACACTCGGGATAACTGTACACCCATGAGTATTTTGTTCATATTTTGATGATGTTATTCATTAAATCATCAAATAAAGAGCAAAAACTAACCTTGGGTTAGTTGTGTGTACTGTGCATCCAGAAGTATATAACAAATTCCATATTGTAATAGTCTGATCTTTTTATTAAAATAAATTAGAGTTGGCAAAGTTGACATGACACAGCAAGAAGACACAAATCGGATACGAAGAAGTCGGGTTAGTGTTTAGGGCTTACAACATGTTTAATTAAACTAGGCAACATGATGCGACACATTTGATTAAATAGGTTGTGTTATTGTTGAGATTCCTCATAGAAACTAACAACTCGACAACTTACTCATAGAAACTAACAACTCGATAACTTAAGAAAAAAAAAGCATCAATTTATGAAAATAATGGCTCACAGTTTTTGCATATAACACAACACAAATTGGACACGTAAAACACGGGTTAGTGTCAAGAATTTTTTATAGGTTTAATTAAACAAGTTAACCCGAGTTATATGATATGCTTTAAATGGATCCGGTTAGTTTTGAGCTTCTCTAATGGTTTACATTTGAACACGAGACAAATACTCCTTACGACTGTACATGTTTGCAAGCTTTTAAAAAACTGTGAGCCACATGACTACGTAGTACGTGAGGGTAGTTGGTAGAGGTCCAAAATTTAGCAACCAAGAATATAATGAGAAAATGGAACACAAACGATTCATAGCAAATAGCATGCTTCAAAATTTGACAAGTTTGGCAATGGCAAGATGAAGATGATGGAAGTCGGTGGTTTTGGTATTCTTTTTCGCCCTTCTTCTCCTGTTCATTCCTTTTTCCTACTTTCTCATTTTCGATTGGAAAATTGTAAACTAATAATCCCACCTTTAGTAAGTGTTCTATAAACAATCCCACCTTTTGAAATTCCAGAAACAATCCCACCTTTGGTAGGGATCTTCCATTAACAATCCCTTTGAACTATAACCTGTTAAGCAGGTTAATTTTTTTTTCTTTTTTCTTCTTCCTAATCTCTCTCATTGGGCCACCAATCCACCACCATAACTCCACCCTGCTCATGCACCAACCTGCTCACCACGTTCACCTCACCTTACACCAACAACAAGCTGCTACCCTCCTCCCACTTCACCACCGACAGCAACTGCATGCAACAACAACAACAACAGCTCACAACAGCCTAACTACCCCCAAAAACACCACCTTGAAAACCCGTAACCACAATCCACCACCCAAAATACCCACTTGTCCCTTGCCGCCCCCTATTCACCACAAACCCCAAACCATGCCGGAAAACCCCTTCAACCACCCCAAAAAACCTCCACAACAGCCCCGAAAATCTCCAGCCCCAGCAAAAAAACCCCACCCCAGCCTCAAATCACCAACCCCCCACAACGAGTTTCCTGGAAAATTGGAAATTGCGAGCCCTAAAAACCAGTGGATTTCTTTGTGGTTTAATTTCTGTTCGTACTCTCTTCATTCAATTAGTATTTATATGTTTTGATTATTTTCTTGAATTGTTTTGTTGATTTTGTTGTTGAAATTGAATTTAGGGTGAGTGATCGAGATATCAAATGCTTTCCTTGGAAACTGATCTTAATAATCTGTCATTGACGACTAACACTGCTACGGGGATAGGGCGGCGATGCGGTGGGGAATGCAGTGGTTGTGTCCGGCGCCTTGGGGGGTAAGTAAGGTTGCCGGGGAAAGCAAGGGCGGGGGATGGGGAGGGGAATGCAGTGGCGGGGCTGCGTCAGGCCGAGGCAAAGGTGGGGGGTTTTAGTTTTTTTGAATTAATTTTGCTTTTTTTTTAATTATTAAAAATTAGAATAACCCTATTAAAATCCGACATGTGTCTTAAACCTAAGGAATCCGGTTACTAAAATAATCAAATCGGTCAGGGATTGTTAGTGGAAGATCCCTACCATAGGTGGGATTGTTTCTAGAATTTCAAAAGGTGGGATTGTTTATGGAAGACCCACTAAAGGTGGGATTATTAGTTTACAATTTTCCTTTTCGATTTCATTCTTATTTATTTCGTGCTATTGGTGTTGATTTTGATGACCCTAAATTGTTTCTTAATTTTGTAAGACAACAATCCAAATTAGGGTTTATTACTGTTGAATATCCCCTTTCCCTCTTTCATCGTATGAAATCTATGCGCACTCTTCCTTCTATCATTGATTTCAATATGCTTTTTTCAGCCATTTGTAGAATTAAACCCCACCCCCCTTTGTCCACTGTCATTTCTCTTTATAGGAAGCTTCATTTGTTAGGTGTTCGTCCAGATCATTATTCCCTTAACATCCTCGCTTAGGCTATGTTCATTTTGGGCTGTCCCTTCTTTCTTTTACCATTAAGCTTGGTTATCAGGTCCGGTGATAATGCCGGTGCTCTCAAACTCCTTGGAAATATGGAGTCTTATGGCCATTGTATGCCTAATCATGTCATTTATAGCACCATCATTGGTAGTCTCTGTAAAAATCAGTTATTACCTCAAGCTCTTTGGGAATATCCCCTGATGTTGTCACCTATAATACCTTAATTCGAGGTATGTGCACTTTGGGACAACAGAAAGAGGCTCAACAAATGCTGACTGAGATGTTGAGGAACAACATAACTCCTACCGTGGAGCCCTACAACATGTTCATTCACATGTAATCCTGGGCACCGTGCCGTGCCGCCGCGGGCCGTGCCTGGCGGGCCACAGGCTGGTTCGTGCCGTGCCGGTCGTGCCGGCGGGCCCAGGATTTCGTGCCGTGCCGTGCCGGCCATTTTCACAGGCCAGCCCACGGCACGGCACGGCCCTCGTGCCTGGCGGGCTGGTGCCGTGCCGGTCACGTGCCGGCCTGCGGGCTGGTGCAGTTTTCATTTTTTTTTTTTTTTTTTAAATGACAACATTATAAATTAATAAGTTTATAATGTATATAAGTTATAAAATTATAATTATAAGTTTTATAAGGTAACTTATAAGTTTATAACTTATAAGTTATAAGTTATTAAGTTATGAATTTTATAATTATAAGTTGAATATTTATGTTTTATAATTTGTATATTCAATATTTATATTTATATATTTACTTTATACTATTACTTTAAAATTTAATGTTTATGATTTATTATTAATTGGTATAATTTTATTTTTTATTAATATGAATTTACAAATTGTAACAAAACTGGGAAAAAAGGCAAATTGGACTTTGGATGTGAATAATGCGTACTTTATATTATTATTACTTGAGTTGAGAAAATTGTACAATGATAACAATGATAAAAATCATACAATGATGGTATTAAACAAAAATTGGAAAATGATAAAATTGATATTTTTAAAATCGTACAATATACAATAATTGTCTATTCTTCTTCTCCTTCTTCTTGCTCGTCTTCGTCTTCGTCTTCGTCTTCGTCTTCGCCTTCGCCTTCAAGGTCATCGGCTAGTTGCATAGATTGGGAACTAGCCGAATCCGAACCGGAAGCGGAGGTTCCTTCTTCGTTGTCGTTGTGGTCGTAAGAACGGTCTTGTGAGCGATTTTCCGCATCCAACCAATCTTTGAAACACATGCACATTTCTAGTGTTTCGGGTTTTAGACTTGTTCTTCTATCGTCTAAAACCCTTCCGGATGCGCTGAAAGCTCGTTCGGAGGCGACGGAGGAAACTTGGATAGCAAGAATGTCTCGTGCCATTGCCGCCAAAGTTGGATGCTTCGAGCTTTGTTGTTTCCACCATGCAAGGAGGTCGAGGCTGTTTATCTCATCGTCGTCCATGCCTTTGGTGAAGTCGTAACTCAGGTACATCTGCAACTCCGAGACGTCGCTTTGCGTTCTCCTGATTGATGAATCACCTGAAAACCTTGAAATCAAGTTAGTAGCTTGTGAAAATAAATGTTTGGCCTTCTTACTTACGTTTTTGGATGGTTGGGAAGGCCCTGAGCGAGGAACGGTGCCATATTTGGCTTCATAGACTCTATATAAAGCAAAAAACTGATCCTTCACATTAGTCTTATAGTTTTCTACATCATCGTCAAGAAACATGCATTGAAAGTAAATGTCAACTAACATAAATGTGTTTTCATACTTTTGCCTAGGATCTAATATGGAAGCAAAAATATAAATCAAAGGAATCTCACTATAATATTTACGCCACTTTTTTTCCATTGCTGGAAGATACTGATCATAATCACTTTGATCGCGATGATCAGCGAAAAGTTGGGCGAGTAAGCATGCATTAGAAAGAAAGTTTTGAGCACAAGGATTGTAAACAGTAGAAAAACAAAACGTCATGTTATATAATAACTGTAAAAATTGCATATATCTTTCACAGTTTTTCCAATCATCATCATACAAAGCATTTTGTGGAAATTTTTTGTTGTAAAATAATGTTAACGGGCCCTTGTACTCAATTGCCTTTGTTAACATGTCATAGGTGGAATTCCACCTAGTTGGGCAATCGGTTCTAATTTTTATTACCCTTATCTTTTGTTGTTTTAGAAAACTCTTCCATTCTTGGTATCTCATGTTAGAGCTATTAATAGACATAATAGCATCTCTGATTTTGCTGTAGTATGGGCCAATTGCCCGAACTCCATCCTGTACACATAAGTTAAGTACATGGCAAACACATCTAGTATGAAGAGCTTCACCGTCTAATAGTACATCGGTTAAGTTTTGTTTGATAAGATTAGCTGTGTATGTCATAGAGGTTGCATTATCAAAAGTCATAGACATCATTTTATCTCGAAGGTTGTATTCGTCTATTGCTTGCATTAAATGGTGAGCAATGTTAATGCCGGTGTGTGGGTATTCGAGCATTTTGAAATGTATTATTCTTTTTTGTAACATCCATTGATCATCTACCCAATGGCAAGTCACACATAAATAGTGATATTTATAACCACTATCCCAAGAATCGGCTGTTAAAGATACTCTACAGTTAAGGTTACTCAATTCGGCTTGTAACCGGACTTTGTACTCTAGGAAATTTTTCATTGCGGCGGAACGAACGGTTTTCCTAGAGATTCTTTTATGTTGGGGTTGTAGTGCTTTGTTAATGTAGGTGTTGAATGCGTCCCTTTCCGAGAAAAGAAAAGGTTGTTCGGCGTGTACTATCATTTTTCCTAGTTCATCCCTATCCCTCTCATAGTTGTATGTAAAGCCGTATGGATGGAATTGGGAAATTTTGGGCTGGGTTGGATCACAAGCTGGTTTTTCACAAGCTTTCATGTGTCTAGATAAGTGTCCCGTCCCGTTTTTGGTAACTGCCGTGAATACACTATTACATGTTTTACATTTTTCCCATTGTTCACCATCTTTACTTAGGACAAAATAACGCCATACCTCACTCCTTCGGTTTTTCAAAAGTAGCATCTCAGTTTCGGTTAACCATTCATGATGTGTGATGGTT